AATAATGACGACGATAGGTTGAGAGATACGGCTGTGCACTCGGTGAACGCACAGAATAAAAGGTCTGCCAAGTTTTACACTAAACCGTGCACAGCAGGACGGACAGACGGACGGATGGTGGCAGGAGACGCCCCGTTTTACTCTGTGCGCTTCAGTCTTTTACTTTGGAAGACGCTTTTTAAAAATTAAGGCAAACTGTGTCTTTCTAGCCACACAGGACCACTGTAAATGCTTTACTCTTAGAATCTGCTTTTGAAAAAAATGAGCAACAGGTTGAGAGATTGGACATCTCTAAGAAACAGAATTCTTTTCCTGAAGACAGAAGCTTTGGGGGCAAAAAAACCCAAAAGTAAAAATAACAGAACTTTTAGCTAAACTGAAACCTAGAGCTACCACTTTGGTGTGAACTGATGAAAGAGTTTGCGCAAGGATTCCCAGTAACATAACCATTTATAGAAGCAAAGACAGGCCCTTCTTTATCCACATTACCTTTCCGGCCCTTCAGATCAGCTCCTGCAAACACAACAGGAATTGTCCCCTGGAAACCCCACATGCATGCTTCTGCACAGGGGCTGCCCTCACGTATTAAATTCTCCCTCACTTGCACGTTGGTTTCAGGGTCAGTGACCGCAGGGAGGGGCGAGCTCACTTACCACCTTCTCTCTCCACCTTTTCTTTTCCCGTTTCCGCTCACCTGTGTACTCAGGGTTACATTTTCTAGGTTCCTTGTTTGCTGAGGGCCTGATTGAAGCCGGCTAACTGTCCACTGCCATTACTGTAAATGTCACTTTTAGATCAACTGGCCCCTGCCCCTTAGATATCTAAGCCACGAGGAATCTAAAGTCCAAGCTGTCATAGGCAATATGAACACAGTCATTTTGGCCCTCCTATAACATGCTGAAAGTTAACTGCAGACGGGTTGTTGCTTGTTTAAGAAACGGCTTCTGGAATGAGCCCACAGTGAAAACTTGAACAGGCTCAGGTGCTCACTATCAGAAAGATCACCTGGTTTCTCTCCCCAGGAATGGTTTGGTAAAACTCTCTCAAGGAAAACGCCACTCGATGAAATGTTTCCTATTTCTTGTGACTTGGGAAAAAACCCCAAAACAGCCCCGTTCCCATTCAGAGTCAGCCTGCTCTTGCTAGGGCTGGGCAAAGAAGACGGAAACCCAGCAGAAGCTGCAGTTATAGAATGTTCTTTAACGTGGGGAGAGCTGGAGGCCTGTGGGACAAAGGTCGCCTCCAGGTCCAAACCAGTGCAGGTGGCAGGAAAGCAGAGGCCACACAAAAGGGCATTGTGCTCCGATAAAGGGAGGGGGAGCAGCAGTTTAGTGGCCGGATTTCAGTAAAGCAGGATGCGCCTCACTAAACAGCAAGTGAAAAAACCCTCAAGACCACCGACCTGATGTGGAACAGTTTAAACAGCGGTGGTGACACGTGCAGCCTTCTCCCTGCCAGAGCGACTTCACCTGTGGGCTTCTTGTCCGAGGAGGAAAAGTGATCAAATACTGGACTTCGTAGAATTTCCTCCAGTGGACTCGTAAGCAGGAAGCACACTCCCTGCCTGCTATTCGAGTGCCCGTGAAGCCCCGGCATCATCAGCTGGAACCTGGGACCGCACCACGTCCGTTTCACGGGAGTCGGGGATGAAAGCATGCAGCTCAAGCGCTCAGCGGGACATGTGCACACCTTAGGCTCTCCAAACCTGCCGCCCGGGACGGTGCTTAGATCATTTATCGAGACTACCTCATTCTAGAGCGGCGTGCACAAGCCTTGGAAAGAGGCGCCTCTCCAGCCATAGACAACATCCTTCCGACTTTCCTGGCACGGCCATCTGTGACTCAAGAAAATTTTTTTAAACTCCATTTAAAACTCCTCCCCAAATAATTATGATCCAAATAATTATGACTCCAAATAATTATGATCTGGGCAGCGTGTCAACAGTGGGCTTTAAAATCAGGTTGACGTGGGTTCAGACCTAGCGCTGAGCTGTGGCTTTGGGCAAATGGCTGAGGCTGTTCCCTCACCCAACCACGTCACCATATGGTTGAGAAAATTCAATGAAATGACATACACTGAGCTTCCAGCACAGTGGCTGGCTCATAAGAGGCACTTAAGATCTTTCTAATGAAACTCCTTACTTTCAAAAAGACTAGAAACACCCACCCTCCCCCTACACACACGCATACACACACACACACACAGATGAAGAACACTTCTGGGGGCTCAGCTCTCCGTTGACACTCTCTCTTTAAGGCATAGCTATTTTCTAGAAGCCAAATGGAAGGCTTGAAACCAAAGTTATTCATAAATTTTTCTCGCCAAACACAAAAACATTAATAGAAAAATACATTTCTTCAAATACATCTTAGATTCAGATAGTCATACATTCTGTTATTTGCCAAAAAGAAAAAAAAAAACAGTTGAAGTAACTGCATGGCCTGAGGGAACAGGGCCTCTGGAAAGCTGCCAGTCCTGCTGCAGACTGGACACTGAATAAAAATGCCCATTGTCCTCCTCCCCCGAGGACCGGTAAATCAGAGTCTCTGGGAGTGAGCTTGGCATTCGGATCTCTGAAGTCTCCCCACGTGACCCTGTGCTGAGCCTTGAGGAGTACCCATGGCTTGTTTGAAGCCTGTGGACTCTGCTCTCTGTCACTCCAAATGCCGCTGAGAGGGACACAAGGACACAGGAAATACACAGCTGAGTAGCAACGAGCGCAAAGTATTGATCTCCTGGTTGGCCCCACTTCACAATATCTGCATTTCCAATATTGCAAAAAGGTAAAAACCGAGACAATCAACAAAGTAAATTTAGGTGGTGAGAACCGGATTAAAAGTGTCAGAAGGACTCTGCATAGCCAAAGAGGCCGCGTCCAGCAGGTGTACGCTCCACTCTTTCCACAGATGGAGTCACCACCAGTCACCACGCCAGGACCCTCCAAAGCAACCCAGAGCCCACTGCCTGTTTCTCCTGGCACATTTCTAGGGTCTGACAAGAATGAAAGGCCACTGCCACACATACACACCAAAAAGTTACTTTCTCCAATCCAAAACTCTTTCTAAGACTTTTTATACCGGGACCACACTGAAGCAGAAAGGGAATGTAAGAGGGAGAGACTGTACTATCTAATACTGGAAGCATGCTAACAACAGGCTAAAGTCTAATATTTAAATTGTGTTCACATTCCCCAACCTTTCCCCGAGGACTCAGATCACAATGAGAGTGCCTTCCACAGGACTGTGTATACCGAGGGGTTCCCAGGACATTTTGTTTAATTACGGACTTCCTTGTGTCACCACTTCCGAAAGCCCAGCTTTCTTGGCCTGAGAAGGGGACACAGGAGTGCCTTCTGGCTGGGCTCTCACGTGCTCCCACCGTGAGCCACGCAGAAGTGCCCAGACAGCGGGAGGACACGACAGAGGCTGTCACTGCTGGCATCTGAGCGAGAGCACCTAAAACAGGGGTCCACAAATTACAGCCCCACCACGTGTGTCCCCACGGCTCTCCAACTAACACCGGATTGTACATCTGGTAAACGCCTGGAAAACCATTTCATGACACGTTCAAGCCATATTAAACTCCATTTCAGTGTCCATAAAGTTGTACTGGACCACAGCCACCGTCCTCTGACATTGGGCACGTGGCAGCTGTCTGACAAGAGTCGAGTAGTTGCCAGAGACAGCATGGCTGCAGCCTAAAATAGTTCCTATGTGACCCTTGACAGATAAACTGTGCCGAGCCCAGCCCCCAAAGGCCAGTCGTTGCCTTTTCCTCACTTTGGCCCACCCAGCGCTGGAAGCACAGCCAACTCGAAAACACGGTAAGACAAGTGCAACGACAGGACTGAAGGGTCATCAGCCTCAGTCTTGTTTCTTAAAGATCAATGATGAAACTTATATTTCTTCTTGCGGGAGGGTCACTGATGACGAAGACGCTGCTGTGTTCTGTTTAAAGTGTCACGACACCTCTAGGGTTCAATGTATTTTAAACCATCGTTTGCTTTTTGAACACTTACAGTAACTCAGAGCTGACTGTCTCCTAGAAGTGGCAACACCTAAGAAAGAGAAACAGCATCCCCTCTCTCCCAGGGATGAGGAGCCCCTGGTGAGGCTCCGGGGAGGACCCCACGGCTACCGGGGGAAGGTGGGGCGCCGAGAATGTCTGTGCTGCATCTCCCCCCGTGGAGGCCAGGGCGCTGATGACAGAGGGCATCATGAACCCTGCCCTTCAGACATCAGAAAACTCGGGACGCAGGGGAAGCAACATTCTCAAGCAAGACGAAAGGGTCTGAGTCCCACCCTCCTGAGAAAGGTGTTTGCTGGTCTTGATGCGCTCTCTGGACACCGTCTTTCTGGCCCACTTGAACACAAGGCACTGTGAGCAAGCCCCCCCAAGCCTTCGGCTTCCTTCCTCTGACATCTGGGAGTCCACCCTTTCATGGGGATGTCCGCCTGCCACTACAGCCAAGTGCTGGCAGGTCAGCGGGCCAATGGGGCGTCTTCCCCGTGCCCTGGCCTCACACCTCAAGTCCAGATGCCTGGGGAAAAGTCTGGAGACACACGCAGAGGGAGGATGGGCAAAACTTCCCTTGCACTGTCCAGGGCTTGGCAGGACACGCAGCCATGAAGGGCTAGCCAAGATGCCCAGAGAAACCCTTTCTTCCAGCCGGAAACGGCCCCTTTAGGGTCTCAGCTGACCTCGACCCTGTCTAGCCCCCACAGAGCTTGAGGCAGGGGAGCAGCTCCTCACTGGGGTGGGACCCAGCTCGGAGCCCGCTGGCCGCTGTCCTGTTCTCGCCCCTCCCTGGGACCTGGCCCAGGGCTTACCGAGGCCTGACGGAGGGCAGAGGCAGGAAGAGGTGAGGGCTGAAGAGACAGACAGCCCTTCATGCCTACAACAGTTCCGTGGTGACCAAGCTGTTCCCCAGCCCAAGGGCGCCCAAGAGTCCACAGACGCCCAGGGCCCAGACGAGGCTGACTTAGAGCACTGGCACAAAGTGAAACTTCAACCATCTTTTATTAGGAAACTCAGCAGGGTTAACTCTTTTAACCCAACTCAAAGCAAAGCCGCATCTCTAACAGGATCTAGGATGGAGGTGACGACCTAATAAAGATTGTTAAACGAACAGTAAAATATATATACAAATCTGCGATGTATTTTTACAAAGCAAAATCCGGCAGTGTTGCAGAAGAGAGATCCCAAAGTGATTTTAGTTATAAAAAAAGCTTTTGGCAGTCTGTGCTGCCTTAAGAACCCCAACTCACGACACATCTAGGAGAAAAGCACTTCCTCTTAAAAAAGAAAAAAAAAAAAATCAAAACCCCCCTTTGTCCTCCTCGCTGTTCAGCTCACACTGCTTACTCCTGGAAGAGCCACAGGTCGAAGCTATAAACCAGACCCAGCTCCCCAGTCTCGGCCTCTGCCTGGCCGTGAAGGCTCACACCAAGAATTAGTCCTTAGCCACTTTCTCCTTCCCACACTCAGGAAAGTGAGGCCTAATTTCTGGAAACTTGCAGGTAGTCCTCATGCTTCCTTCAAGGAGGGGCCTGAGGCTCTGTGAGGATCAGGGGCAGTGTACCTGGCAGGACTGGAAGGCCAGCTGGGCAAAGGGGCCCTTCTAAATAAACACACCCAACACCTTATAAGCTAAAGTCTAACCCACCAGGTAAAACAAGCAGCAGCTGGCCGTCCAAAGAGGCGCTTATCTCACGGCCTTCCTGAACCAGGCAGCAGAGGGAGCGAGGCGAGAGCACACGGCCTCATCTCTCTCCCAGGAGCTCTGGCTGACGGCTCGTGTCAGGCCAAAGCCATGTTGCAAAGGCAGACATGTGGCCATGGGACAGCCTCGGCCACTTCTGCTGGATAAGCTCGGCAGCTGGGCTCACGGCCGCTTTACTCAAACTGTCCCCTTATGCAGACTAAGAACTAGGGAAATTATCTTCTCAATTCAACTTTGCAACCGACAGGTACTTCAACAGTAGCAAAGAGAAAACTGCCCGGAGGCCCCTGGTGCAGGGTCACAGCTCCTTCCAGTCGATGGGCTCCTTGCCAGACTTCTGCAGCAGCTCGTTGGTCTTAGAGAAATGTCTACACCCAAAGAAGCCTCTGTTCACGGAGAATGGGGAGGGGTGAGCAGTCTGCAGCACGTGGTGCCGCTTCTGAAAGATAATAAGAGAAAGAACACACAGTGGCACATTTGGGACTTTAATCGCCCCACGTGCCGAAGTGGACGTCCTCACCCTTGGCACCCACACTGGAGCATCAGCACATTCACTCCTTCATTCGAGAAGCCACTGCCTTTGCTAGGCTCTGAGGCTGCAAAGCAGACGGTCTCAGCCTTCAGTCAGGCACCACCTATGGGAGTCTAAGTGCCTGGATCCTGTGAGCCAGCAACTCCACTGCTAAGATCATATGTGCTACAGGACAGCACGATGCACAGAACTACAGAGATGCAGGAATGAGGAGCTTCCCGCAGCACTGCTGACAGCTGGAACACCCAATGTAAATCCAGTGTCATGCAACCAACTAAAAATGTTTCTAAATTTCTTACAATGGAACACCACGTGGCCACTAGAAGAACAAGGCGGAGCTCCATATGCTGATAGGGGAAGACCTCCAAAGTATGTCAGGTGAAAAAGCAAGGAGAGTGACAACTAACTGCATCAAAAAATTTGGGGGGGGCCAGCCTTCAGGCCGAGTGGTTAAGTTCGCATGGTCTGCCTTGGTGGCCCAGGGTTTCGCCGATTCAGATCCTGGGCAGACCCAGCAGTGCTCACTAGGCCATGCTGAGGTGGCAGCCCACATAGCAGAGCCAGGACCTGCAACTAGAACATACAACTATGTACTGGGGGGCTTTAGGGAGAAGATGAAAAATGAAAGATTCGTAACCAATGTCAGCTCAGCTGTCAATCTTTAAAAAAAAAAAAAAAATCGGGGGGGCAGGGGGGAATAGCCAGACGTTATTTAGCGGTTCCTTTAGGGGAAAGAAACAGCGGAAGGCATCCTTTCCATCGTGTACCGTTCTATACTGTCTGAATTGTCTCCCCACAAAAATGGAATACTTTGCTCTTTTAAAATGTTGACTGTAGTTAACTCGGCAGGGCCATATGGACCACTTCTGTTTCCTTCTTTATCCTTTTCTGTCTTTAAGTAAACACCACCTAACAAATCATTGTATTAAAACATCCCCGCCTTCAAGGAGCTTGGTCCAGGAGGTGCATAATTACAGGCAGGCTGCCCAGCATGGTCAAGAGCCAGGAGGCCAGCTGGAGAAGGCCTGGGTCAAGTCCCGGCTCTGCCCCTTGGCTGTGTGGCCAAGGGGAAGTCTCTGAACCTCCCTCAGCTGCACTCCACTTTTCACTGTAAGTTGGGAACAGCAGCAGCATGCAGTTTACGCAGGTACCGTGCAAGAACAAACCAACGACCGTGCGGACAGAGCTTGAGAAGTAACGCAGGTCAAGGTCTTAGCACGACAACCGGCACGCGTACAGGCCCTGAAACGTGAGGGGCACTGAGTGCTGAGGGCCAGTTAGCCAGCCTCTGGGGAAGGAAAAGTCCTTCATCCTGGACAGAGGCAGCAGGATGCTCAAAGGCAGGCGGGGACGGGGGCCAGAGCAAGAAGTCCAGGCGCTTCAGTGAGCCTGGAGTTCAGAGCAGAGAGAGGGGCGCTGTGGCTGAGAGGCAGCGGGGCCATCCCAGGACCCAAGGGCGTCAGCCCCAGTCAAGGCCGTCCTTCCACAGCGAAAGCCTGGAACACTCCAGGCAAGATCAGATAGGGGCTGAACCAAGGCAATGGTGGTCAGGCAGGGGTGGGTTTGACAGAGACAGGAGAGAGAGAAGAGAGGCTATGACTGACTGGAGGGACGAGGGGGGAAAGAGGAGAAAGGGTGCAGGGGAGAGGGTGAAGGGGGAGAGACAGAGGGAGCGCGGGAGGTGTCAAGAATGCTACCTGATTTCTCGTTGGGCAACTGGGTGTATGGTGGCCCTTTTGAGCCTTGGCTACTACAGAGGAGCAAATCTGGTGAGGGACGCAAGAGGAAAGGACAATTTCTCTGGAACCTGTTGAACCTGGCGTGCTCATGCGGCACTAGCACGGAGGCAGGTGAGCATACAGATCCAGGGCCCGGAGACACACTGGGCTGGAGATCCACAACTTGGTTTTCAGGATCAAAATCCCTTAACAACTGTTTACTTTCAACCCGAACTGTATTTAACAATAATAAAGAGGACAAATACACTGAGTAGGAGGGAGACTGACCACTGTCCTCCCCAAGGCAGAGCCTGGAAATCACCCCTATGCACACTCCTGGCTCACCCAGACCATAAGATCTTAGCAGCTGGTCATTCACACCAGATTCATTCCTACTGTTCCCGTCCCTTAAAAGAAAAAACCCAACAGCATCATCTTCTTTCACTCAAACCTTTATGAAAACGAGGCCTTTTAATCTGACTTACACAGTCCACTGCTAGCTGCTGGCATGTGCATAAGACGACACTGGAAGGGGCCGCGAGAAACGCGAATCCAGTGCTCCAGCAAGTCAGGAAGAAACTGATCAGCTGGGGACGAGGATGGGAGACTTCTCACCACATACCTTCATCTCCTTTTTCCTTTTTTATTGTGAATCTACCACCTACAAAAACCCTGAATTCTGAACTAAAGACCAATCTCCATCTAAGAAGAACAGAGGTGATGACCGACACATGCGTGCAGTCTGCTGACGGGAACTCGGTCACTGGCTTAGCATCCCCACTCACCCGCGGCCCACCCTGGGCTCGTGCCACAGCCCACCCGGCTGAGCGGGCTGCTCAGGAAGAGCCTGAAGCTGCCGCGCAGGCTACATCTTGGCTCCGAATTCACTGCAGTCCTAGGCAGTGACTTCATCTCTCTGAGTCCCAATGCAAAATAGGGTCCGTGCATCCCTCTCCCCATAGCCCTTGTGAGAGGATGAAGTGATTCTGCACGGAAAGTGCCAGACTTGGTGCTGACACAGGGCAGGGAGCTGACCGTATCTGCACATCTCTGACCCTACTGTCGGTCACCTCACTTAGCCCCTCTGCTTCACTTACTGTAGGATTTACCCTGTATTTCTTCCCCACTCTCATGCCCCAATTCAGTCTCTCCCCGCTGCCCAAGCTAAGCAGTCCTTCTTGACTCTTCTCCCCCCCCCCACACCCCGTCTGTCCTCCTCCACTCTGCTGTTCATCAAACCCCCTTCATCTCCCGGCTGTCAGGGACCCTGGAGAGAAACAAGGGCTCAGCCCAGGGTGGGAGCAGCGCCCCTGTGAGAAGCAGTGGGCCTGGGATGTTTGAGGACTCTCGGAGGCACTGGATTTAAGGCATGAGGGAAAGGAGGATTCCAGGAGACTTCTGGCTTTTCACCTCAGCAAGCGGGTGTGGAGGTGCTTCAGTAAGTAAACGGAGAAGATCGAGAAGGAACGAGTTGGGGCAGGATGCAGAGAGGGCAGCGATGCGAGAGCTGGTTGGTGGTGCTGCGCACTGGCCATCACACCTCAGGGTTAATGGTTATCACCGGGAGCCTTTTCATGGGCGAAGTGACATTTGTGTTTAAGGGGAATTCTTCGTGTGTTCTGTATACTCTCAGATTTCTTGGAATCATGAAACTCGTCTTATTCAGCACTTATTCCACTGTTTCTTAAATGAATGGTTCCCGGGACCTGCGTATCTTTCTATGTATATGGCAAGTTTAGGCCAATATTACTAACTGCATACACCAGAGTTGGCCAGTGGCTTTCTTCATACACAACCAGGCATTCGTATCACTTGTCTGAGTTCTGCTCAATTTCCAGTGGGAAACCTAACCCTGAGTATAATAGTCTTAAGGGAAAATAAGCTTCATTCCACGTCATGGATTTTCCAAGACCACAGAGCAGGGACTCCTAGAATTCTCTAAACAGGCTTAAACTGCTTAAAAGAAAAAAAAGCGCACACACACATACCCTGTCGATGGCAATGCCCTTCTTCTGAGCATAAGAGCCCCAGAGGAGGAACACGAGGCCATTCGAGTTGTGATTTAGCCAGGACACGACCGCGTCGGTGAACTCCTCCCAGCCTCTCTCCTTGTGAGAATTGGCCTGATGCGCCCGGACTGTGAGGACAGCATTGAGTAGGAGAACACCTACGAAGACACACCAGGGAACTATGTGAAAGGTGGCTAAGACGACCAACCCCACAGCCCACGATAGGGGCTCACACACGATGAAGCCAATTCTGGATGGAATCTGGCAGCTGGCGCAAGTCAGGTCATAGAGAAATCATCCCCATGTGACTGGTGTCTACCTCTGGGCGAGAGTGGAGGGCATTCTACTTTCAGCTCTGCACTTTCAACCTGTTCCAGGTTTCCAACAGTCAACACGCCTTGTTTGTGTCACCAGAACGAATTGTTTCAAAAATACATCCTAAGCGACCTTAAATAACCCCAGAAAATAACAAAAGGAGGCCAAGACGTTTCACTGAAACAAAAATGTAACTGCAAGAAACCAAAGAGTCAACAGTCTTTCCTTATCCTGGTTAGCGTGTTAAAAAAGAAAGAAGAAAATGGAGTTCTGTAGATAGGTATTAAACACTTACAACACAGCCTTTGTGTTGAAATTAGAAGTCAGGCCACCTTCTGATGGTCAAAGTTCAGTCAAGTGGATAAACTCAAAATACCCAGGAGGAACAGACTGTTAAACATGAAAGAATCGCTCGGCTGCAGGGTAAAACTTATACCCATTTTCTGATGTATATAAATTTGGCAGTTTTGTTGGAGCGCTCTAGTTCCTTACGGCTAATCTTTCACAAACATGAGCAAGACGGACAGAAAGGAGAAGACTGCTGAAACCCTCCAGGACACTTCCACAGCGGCTGGTTTACCTTGTTTGGCCCACCCAGATAAATCTCCATGACCAGGATGAACAAAACCGTCTATGTCTGTGGACAGCTCCTTATAAATGTTTTCCAAGCTAGAAGCAAGCCGGAAGAAAAACACAAAACAGCATCTTAAGCACAGTCCTGAAAGTTCTGTCCCCTCAGCGTCATGTGCATTAGCCCGTAAAGCCAGCCCCTGGAGAGGACAAGGGAACACCTGCACTGATTCTGGACGCGAACTCCATTTCCTGACAGCTCAGTCTGCCAGAGACCTTTACCTTGGTCTGCGCTTGGATTTAGGGAGTTGCACTTTGGAAAACCTGAGTAAATGACTCCAGGAGTTACGAAGCCCCTCCCAATTGATGCTTGGTTACAATGTTACATCTTTATGTGTTTATTATATTCGTACATATTATGTAAAATCCTCCAAAGCAGCGGTTTTTAGTAAGCAGGGGTGATTTTGTCCCCAGGGGACTTCTGGCATCATCTGAAGACAGCTTTCATCATCAGAACCAGGGGGGCAGTGCTACTGGCATCTAGTGGGCAGAGGCCCGGGGTGCTGCTAAACATCCTACAGTGCACAGGACAAAGTTTTCCCCCTGAGACCCAGCGCCAAATGTCAACAGTGCTAAGCTTGAGAAATTTTGCTCCAAAGGCTAGTGAAAGCCCCCCAAACAGGTGTCCCTGTAATTTGCAAAGTACCTATCTCAAAGTAATCGTGATTGGCCCTGAGCCATCTGCAAAGCAATCGTACCTAGGGGGAGGTGGAACCGGTCTTTGAACACTGAAGCAGAGCCCGTGAGCTTGACTGGGTCCGTGATACGGATCCTGCCCCAGGATGACGACCTTCACCTGTCGATAATAGGAGGCAAGAAGTTAAGTACTAGAGTGTAGGCAGTTTAAACCAACACCTGGCCGACGGGAACCTAGACAAAGGGACACAATGAGAAGGGCAGCCCCCTTCCTGCCCCAGCCAAGAACCCGAGGGAGGAGGCGACCTGGCAGCAGCACTCTCCATTACCCAATCATCCTGCACGCAATCGCCCTGCTGCACTGCCTCGCCCCTTCTCTGACATCCGTGTTTGAGGCACTTTGGGCTCAACTTTGCTTCACGGGTTTCATTTGCCAAATTACAAAATCAGATATGTCCTTGTTACAATTAGAACCATCCAGAAACATACGAAATGGTTCGTCACCCTCCGCTCAGCCCTACCCTGTCCTGATTCAACCTATTTTTAATCACCTATAGAAGTGGGGTTCTTGTACTCACTGCCCTACATTTTTGCGTTTCTCACATCATACATGTTCGGCCTCCTTCAAGTCAACGGAGGGCTCTATCACTGACAGGCCGTCAGCGTGTTTCTCTATATTCTCCATGACAAAAAACAATGCAGCAAACATCCCAGTACAGACCTCCTTACATACTGTTGCTCTTATTTCTATGGGATAGATTCAAAATAGTGGAGTTGCTGGTCAAAGGATAAGTGTATTTAAAATTTCCATAGACATATGCCAAATTGCTTTTCAATGAGTTGAAGCAATTCAAATTCCTCAGCAGCAACATATGAAGGTGCCTGTACCCCTATATCCTCTAAGGGATGAAATCAGAAAAGAATAAAGTCAGGTCAAAAGGCAGCGGGAGCAGGTGGCAAGATGCAATGAAAATTAGGTCATTGTCACAGTGGTATTGAAACACAGCGAGTCCTTCCCACCTAGTGCCTGCCTGCCTATTCATTTTCATGCTTCTGCTCATGGGTTTCCTTCTCAGAATCTTCTTCCAAAGCCAACGTACAATATGCCCTTTAAAATCCAGCTTCAGGAGCTCCCATGATCAGGAACCTTTGTGGACCTCTCCGTTCTTACTGCTGGTGCTCACGCTGTCCCCAGCCTATTTCCCATTGTGAGGCACCCTGTCCCTGCAGGGAAGCTTCTGGGTTCAGGGTTCTGGTCCTCGATGAAGGACGACCTTGGACAAACCGTGTAACCTCCCTGACCCTCCACATGCTCGTCTGCAAAGAGGCCCTGTGGGCCATCTGATCCTCTGAAGTTTCACGCTCTTTTCTTATTCTTCCTATTTACAGTGATCACCAGTATTCGAAACAGGACACACTATCCCAGCGAGAAGCAAACTAGTGCTGAGTTTAATAGGACTTAGTTCATTTAACTTCATGACACACTGTGGTGGTGTCCCACACACAAAATAGAGGAAGGGTGGCACAGGTGTTAGCTCAGGGCCAATCTTCCTCACCAAAAAAACCTCAGAGAGAACATATAGATACAGGGTTTATGTACGTATTTTTCTTTTTTGCTGCATAAACAGCACACTGTAAAAGTTAAGAAGAGTAAATATAGGCTAAAACATAGCCTACCAAATCTCACAATTTCAGTATTTTACTTATTACTGAATTATGAGCAGTGACTTAACTCCAGTGTCCCTAATTAAAAAATACTATTGGATTCTCACCCCTCTCTTCCCAAAATTCACTCGCAACTTGTACTTACATCTCTTATGTCACACATTTGGGTCCACGTGAAGACTTGGTGTGGGGGTGGATAAACAGTGTGATGTCTTCTTTCTTCTGCAACAAACCCCATTAGCTGATTTAAAGATAAACCAGATTTAAAATCAGATCTCACTGGGAAGCATGAAAATTCAACAAGAAAGCTTCTAATGCAAGCTATTTGAAGACATATTATCTAGCTCTTTGCCATGTTTGACACCCAAATTCTCTGGAAAAACAAATACAGTACCTGCTCCCCACCCATGTTGTTCACTCACTCCGTTCCCTCCCCCTTTCTTTGGGCTGGGTCAAAGTTGATTGGCCCGGCTGCTCTGATTTCCTTTTTCCCTCCCTGAGCCAGGTTTCATTCAGTTCGGTTTGTGGTTTGACCATGCCACGCTTTCCTGGAGAGCAGACTACCTAAACGAATTAAAATAAGCCGTGATATCATCTTACAGCCTTTTGAAGACATTAACTCCTGTAAATGCACGCATCAAAACACCATGCCTTTAGTTTACCGCTTTAGCGTGCAAAGGACGTTGATGGAGACAAAACGGGAGATTACAAAGGAATATTGTATACACGTGGGCTTGGCCTGCTAGACTAACAAGACAAAAGGCCCGCAGGCCCCACGTTCACCTTTATAAAATACGGTTTGCCGAACTCTCCGCTGAGGTGCTTCTTCCAACTCTCGCCGAAACCCACGGGAACGTTGCGCGCCGCGAGTCTGAGCAGGGCCGCGGCCTTGTTCCTCTGGATGCGGTCCAGCTGCTCCGGGCTCAGCGGCGAGGAGGGCGGCGTGCCGGGGTCCTCCTGCCCGGCTCGGGCCTTCTTGGCGGGGCTGGCCTGCAAGTGGAACCCGCACAGGCGGGTCACCAGCTGCAGCGGGCCTCTCCCAGGCGTCTGCAGCTTCCGCCCCCACCCCAACAGGCCTTTCCAGAAGACGCCCATTTGTGGGGTTTCAGGCCCACCAGGCAGGTCGCAGCAAAACCAGACTCCGGGAATCCAGAGCTGAACCCAGTTGGGACTAACGGGCCGCTGCCCGGAATTTCGTATTTGGTACTAAAACGCGGCGGGCAGAAGGGCCGCGAGCAAGGCGCTCGCGGAGAGGCGGGCCCTGCACCCCGCCGCCCCGCCCCGCGGAGCCCGCCACTGGCGTCCCAACGTGGTCTTTTCGCGGCAAAAACCCTTCCCCGGGAGTCCCGCCCCCTCCCTCCTCTGATTGGACCGCGCACCGAGCAGGGCGGGCCCCTCGCCTCTGATTGACGCCGCGGGCCCCGAGGCTCGCTCCCATTGGCTGGCCCCTCAGCATGGCCGCCGACAGGCGCCGGGGCGGGTGTTTTGAACGCGGAGAGGGTGTTCTGAAGCCGAGGCCGCCAAGGCCCGAGTCCCGAGTCCACGGCGCGTTCCCGCAACCCCTCGGTCGCGCGGGGCCCGCCGCCCTCTCCCCGCTCCTTTCCCCCGGCCCCAGGGGAGGAACCTCCGCGCCTCACCGTGGCATCCCCGCTCTCCTCAGCCACCGCCGCCACGCCAGTCCCCGGGTCGGCCGGCTCGGGGCTGCGGGCAGGTCGCCTCCTGGTGGGGTTCGTGGAAAAGAAGGAGTAGAGCGTCTTCTGGCCGATCATCCTGGAGCCGAGGAGGGAGCGAACGCGCGCCGACCGGGGACCCGCAAGACTCGCGCTGCTGAGGCGGTCTGCAGTTGGCGCCAAGCGGCCCGCGCATGCTCCGACCGGGGTCTGGGCGGGGGGCGGCGAGGGGCCTAATGCGCATGTGCGGGAGGGGCTGCCCAGGACGCCCCTAGGGGAGGCGGGGCGTGGACCAGTCGTTCGGGCGGGCTGGGTGCTTTTGTTCGGTTCCCGTGTTTACTGTTTCATTTATTACCATAGGCTCTTTCCTCGTCCGTCTGCCTTGGGGCAAATCCTTGCGTCTCTCCGCGGTAAAAAGTGCCTGCCTGGGAGGCTATCTAGGTGGGAAATTAGCATTGAAATAGTATTTATTGAGCTCTTACATCTATTATCTCAATTTCCGCTACCTATTTTCCTGACGAGTAATTAATGCCAAGAGCGGTCCAACATGTGGCTAACCTGTAAGGTTTGGGGGAGACTTTAGTTGAGGTCGTGGATGTCAAAGTCTAAAGTAGTCATCCTCCAAAAGGCACCACTATATCCTCCCCCACGTCCCGTCACCCCCCCATACACCCGGGACTTTTCTCTTTCCCTCCCTCCCCACATCCAAACCATCAACAGGTCCTCTTGGTTCTACCTCCAAGATAAAGCCCGAATTCAACCGCGGCTCTCCACCTTCCGGCTACAACCCCAGCTGGTCTCCTCTTTGCTTAAGAGAGTGATCTTTTTGAAATGTAAGTTACATCACCAGAATCCCCAGGTTAAAATCTTCCTATAGTTTGTGTCGACGCAAATAATTCGCAACCAATCCATAAATCAAAATTGGGGTGAGTTTATTGTGAGCCAGATCTGAGGACTAGCCCGGGGCCTGCCTTCCTGGAGGAAGTGGGGCGTACAGAGTGGTTATATACCGTCTTGGAACAAAGAGCATATATTAAACGCCCCCAGGATACATTTTCATCAAAATTTCAAAGAGGTACTCAGTTGCAAATTAGCAGGTCCACGTGACCTCCACTCAGGAAAGGGACTACTGTGGGCGTTACCAATAGGGCGTCGGAGGGGAAGTAGCATTCTTGTCTGCAGAGAGTGCAGTCTTTATTTTAATGGGTAAGCAGATGTACAACGTATGTGACAAATAAAAATGGCAAGTAATAGGATATATTGGAATATATGAGGAAGCTATTTGGTGTAAACCTAATTCGGCCTGACCTTGTCTTTCCAAAAGGGCCTGACCGAGGCCGTTGAGCATGCATTGTATACCTGCTTTAGAGATTCCCTATGGCAAGAGCAAAGGCCCTTGAGATAAAGGTGCAACTTCCCTGCCTCTCCCAACGTTGGCGTCTCCTTAAGGATTAAGCATCTTTCCTTAGGCTAGAAGCTGATTGCTGAGCTCACCTGTGATAGACTTGCCTCCCGCTACGCCCAGCAAGATAGCAGACCCACTACCTGTTGTGTCTGTCAAGTGCTGTGCCGATAGGGCAATCTTGTGACTATTGTGGGAGGGACATTTCAATCATATGTGAAACACCCTCTTTGAGGGTATATAACCATCCTGTGTACCCCCACTTCTTTGGAGTGCTCTGTTCCTTTGTGGAAAGACTCTCCCAGGTTATAATCCTAAGATTTAAGCTCAGAATAAACTCACCCAAATTTTCGTTTATAGATTGGTTATGGATTATTTTCATCGACATATGTTTGATAGGCCATAAGTCAGGCTTTTTAGTTCAAGCTGAATCCGTTTTCAACTTGGTTACCCCATATACCTCAGTGTGAAAATCTCTGATCATTTCTAAATATGCTTGGGGAAAAAACCCAGCTTCTGGCCCTGCCAGCAAGGCTGCTTCCCTCTCTGACAGAAGCCCCCGCTACTGTGGTGTTAACTGAATCTGGCTCTCAGCACATTCGCTGGTCCCTGGCGTGGCCTTTACTCGTTGCAACCGCTGTCTCCTGCTCGGAAAGCTGCAGGTCTCAGCTCAGTGCCCTTGCTCTGAAAGGCTTTCTCCTTCCTCATTTTCCAGCCAGCGACTCTATGTGTAGCTTCTGTATAGGTCTATTTACTCCTAGGCAATTACCCAAGTGAAATTAATATCTATATCCACACTAAAGCTTGTACCTGAAGGGATATAGTGACTTTACTCGTAATTGCATCAAACAGGAAACAACCCAAATGCCCCTCACTGGGCGAGTGGGTAAATAAACTGGGGGACATTCATACAAGGGATGCCTCCTCTGTAATAAAAAGAACAAACAACTGATCCAAGCAACATGGATAACATCTTAAGAGCATTATGCTAAATGGAAAAGGCCAGACACAAAAGCCTATATATTGTATGATTGCATTTATAAGAAGTTCTGAGAAAGACAAAACTATCGGAACAGGAAACTCATCATCGGTTGCCAGGGCTGGGTGAGCGGGGGACAGCTGATGACTAAGAGGCTTGGGGGAATTTTGTGGGGTGACAGAACTGTTCTGGATCTTGACTGTGGTGGTGGTCACCCAACTGTGTACCTCTGTCAAGACTTGCAGAACTGTACACTAAGGAGATTCAGAACAAAGCCCCAAGCCTCACGGAGCTTTCCATTCCATCCGGGAAGACAGTAAACAAAAACTAGGAGCAATAATAGAAACGAACATTTATTCAGAGCGTGGAAGCACTTCTCACACGTCCTCTCAATTAATCCTCATGGGGCTCTCATGGCATATGTTTTATAGTCCCCATTGTACAGATGAGGCAATTCAAGCCCAGAGAGGTTAAGTGACCTGTAGGAGCCACACAGTTGGAGTGGAGGAGACAGAAATGGAAGCCGGGGTCGGACTGCAAGAACTCGTGCTCCTACCTGCGACAATAGGCCAGTGACCCAACTCCCTGTCAGGATGCCAAATTAATCCTTAGGGAGAGGTGACGCCGAACAACAGCTCCCAAACCCCAGATGTTCCTTAAGAGGTGCAGAACAAGCAGTTACATAGAAACAAGCAGTGCTTGCACTGCGCCGGGAAGGCCAACAGGTGGCGCCAGGAGGCCGCCCACCACCTCGTTTTGCAAATTCGCCCGCCTCTCGGTTTGCGTCGGAAATCGACCCGGAAGCAGTGCTGCGGGCCGGGTGAGTGCTTTCTCTCTCCTGCGAGCCCTCCCTGCAGCGTTTGCAGGACTGGGAGCTGCGCGGGTGGTGTCCGCGGTTTTAAAGAGAACCCCTGCCATCCCTCCCACCCCAACCCCCTCCCCCACCCCGCGCACGAGTCCACATTCTTCTTTTCTATCAGAATTCGGCGTGCGCCTGTTTGACCACGTTTAACTGGTTTCCATTTAGATTCAGAATCATCGATTTGAGGATCACCGTACTTACCTATTTTAATCCTGGCGTGGGAGGGCCGGTCAGTTACGGGTGGGAAGGAATTAGCGACACTGCTTTTCTGGGTGACGTGGAGCAAACCCCTTCTCCTCTCCGGGTGTCAGTTTCCCCATCTATAAAAGTGACCGTTTGGATCACACAGTTTCCAAATTTGCCGGTGGCATGTGAATTCCCAGGGGAGGTTTCTTTAAAAACAGATTCCTGGGGGTGGGATGCAGGCAATTGGGCTTTTGCAATATAGCCAGCTGATTCTGATGCATTGCCAGGAGAGGAGTGGGGGGCCCCCGGACCATCCCGGGGACCCTTCCAGCTTTAACGTCCTCTACTTCCTCTCTAGGACATGGTGTTAAACATGGAAACTTAGACACAGTGAGGTGTGCCGCTGTGGCACCACTTTGCCACCGAGCAGATTTTTGCATCTGGGTGAGACCCTGGGCAATCTCTGTCTTTGCCCTGCACCAGCTCCCAGGTCTTTGCTTTGTGGAGACAGGATGGACAGATTCCTGGTGAAAAGCGCTCCCCGGGGCCTTTTGGGAAAGAGGCAGCCAGCGCAGACCGGAGGAGGCCCAGCAGCATTGGGAGACGGGGAGGAAAGCAGCAGGAAAAGGCCCAGGAGAGAAACTCCGGAGAACGGAGTGGACTTGGCAGGGCCCAGCTGGCAGCGCATTCGAGCCGAGGGCCTGGACTGCGATTACACAGTCCTGTTTGGCAAAGCCGAAGCAGACGAGATTTTCCAAGAGTTGGAGAAAGAAGTGGAATATTTCACAGGTAAGCAGAGGACTGCATGGCGTGTGCTGAAGGCTTGTTGGATAGAACTGGGGGTCTGCATTTAGAGAAATCTGAACTCGGGGGCCGTTGGTTACTGATGAGTTTGTTAACTGATTCAACACATATTCCCTGGGCACCACTGGGCCAAGCTCCTCGCTAGGCACTTGGGATATAAACTGGAAAAAAACAGGATTGCCTGCCCACTAGGAGCTGACATGACCAGAGCCAGTCTCCGCCTGGCTACTGATTAGAATCATCTGGGAAAATTGGAGGAAAAAAGGATGCTGGGTTCTACCCAAGACCCACTGAATCAGAGTAGCTCGGGGTGCAGCCCGGGCATCAGCGTCTTTAGAAAGCTTCCTGGTGATTCTAATTTGCAGCCAAGGCTGAGAACCCCTGGTCAAACAGGAGAGATGGCAAATAACCAGGTAATCCGTGCGCACAGGCGTTCCCAGCACCACCTGGAGGACTTTGTTGCTTGTGGGAACTCAGATTGCTGGGCACACCCCGCAGTCTAGCATCTGAGTTTCCAGGTGATGCTGCAGCTCCGGGGACCACACACAGAGAGGCGCTGCAAGGTGGCAGGCACTTAGAGGCATAGAGGAGCCCACAGGAGACCCCAGCCTACAGCCTGAGCTGCGTTAGCTCCATCTTTCATGGGCCCCACAACCTTAGGCCCCACAGTTGGCAAAATCACCCTTGTGTGTGACCTGACTTCATCATACTTGCATTTCAGCCTCTTTATTCTGCCTGTCCTGTAGGTAAGGCAGTTAAGTTAGTGCTTTTAAAGAAATCGGACAAGACCGTGTTTCTCTAAGCCTAGTACGAGAATCGCTGTTCTTACGTGAACATCTTGGGTGAGCCGTAATGATTTTCGAGAAGAGGGTCCTGGGTTAGGGCATTCAGTGTTACTCCTGTTTTTCTTCCCTTTCCATCCTGAATACTTAGGGGACGAGTGTGGGGCGCCCGCCTGCCTGGTTTCCTGAGCTGCCATGTTTCATTTGTGCAGGTGCACTGGCCAGGGTGCAGGTGTTTGGGAAGTGGCACAACGTGCCAAGGAAGCAGGCGACGTACGGCGACACTGGGCTGACCTACACCTTTTCGGGGCTCACTCTGTCCCCGAAGCCCTGGATCCCAGTGCTGGAGCGCATCCGGGATCGTGTTTCTTTGGTGACCGGAAAGACCTTCAACTTTGTGCTCGTCAACAGGTGACACCCTGCCTATTTTGTAGTTTTTAGACCAGTGGACTGAATTTTATAAATCTTCCATTTCTCCCAAAAGGAAGAGGTTAGGATTCCACCGTATTTTATTCATTTGTACCACAAATAATGCTTTAGTGTACGAGGGAGGTGGGAGGGGAACCGCACCAGCAGTCAGTCGTGAGCAGGCGTGGAGCTCACGCCACAGTGGGGAGTGAGAGAGGACTGATGAGCACACAGTTAAACACGATCATTGCAGACATTTACAAGTATCTTGAAGAAAATGAACCAGGCTGATTTGACTAAGAATGGCCAGGAGGAAGGGGTCTGGGTTTAGGGAGGGTTTCTCAACAGCAGTGCTATTGTTTCGCGCCAGATAATTCTGAGGTGGGGGCCATCCTGGGCATCGTAGGATGTGGCCTCCACCCACTAGATGCCAGTAGCGCCCCCTCCCCAGTCATAGCACCGGAAGGCTCTCCAGACATTGCCCAGTTCCCTAAGGTGGGGGCAGACCCGCCCTGGTTGACAACCTCGGCTTTAGGGGAAGGCGGTCAGAGGAGGGCTCAGTCAGGTGGTGACATCTGAGCTGATAACTGAATGGAGACAGAGCGTGAGCCACACAGAATGTGGAGCAAGAGCCGTGGAGCCCGGAGCGTCTGTGGAGTGGAAACCTCATGGATACTGCCAGAAAGCAGTGGTTCGGAGCAAGGGGTATGGGCCGGGCTCAGACTGCGAGGAACACAGATTTCACTCTAGGTGGAGGGAGAAACCGTTTTATGCGATAAAGGTTTACGTGGATCAACAAGGAGAGTCTTTGGGTGTGTGAGGTTGTAAAGTGTATGATCAAATAGGACTAGGTAACCGAGTGAAACTGCTCCAGGCTCGGCTGCACTGTAGCAGCAGAGGCGGCCCTCCGGCCCTGGGGGGGACAGCGTGCTCGGAGCCCGGTTCTGCACCATGAGGAAACGAGGACCCTGCAGTGCTGGCGCGCCTTGGGGGGTGCTGTTCCGTGGATGGGCTCACTCTCCCGTTGCAGGTATAAAGATGGCCGAGACCACATTGGCGAGCACCGAGATGACGAGAGAGAGCTGGCTCCTGGGAGCCCCATCGCCTCCGTGTCCTTTGGGGCCTGCAGAGACTTCTTCTTTCGGCACAAGGATGCTCGAGGGAAAAACCCCTCCCGGCGGGTGGAGGCAGTCAGGCTTCCGCTGGCCCACGGGAGCTTACTTATGATGAACCCCCCCACCAACACTCACTGGTACCACAGCCTCCCCGTCCGGAAGAAGGTTCTGGCTCCACGGGTCAATCTGACATTTCGTAAAATTGTGCCGACTAAAAAGTAAACTTCTTGTTAACAGTTAGTACTTCTGTTTTCTCCTTTCCTCTACTCAGGGAGCTGGCATTTCCTTTACCAACACGGAAAGAAAGGGTTTAACCAGAGTGTCGGGCTTATTACATAACAATGCAGAATTCAGAAAGATAATGTTTGTATCAAATTGGAAAATTATGAAGGAATGTCAGTTGATTTTTTCCTAAAAAATGATTCTTTTATTGCTATAATACACAGCAGATACAAAAAGTACCTTTAGCAAATACAGAAATCAGCAGTTGTTATAGCATAAACTACTAGTTTAACTTAAGTTTTTGCAAAATGATGCTACTTTGTAAATAACTTAAAACTAAAGATCAGATTATTTGGCTGCTCCTTAATGCCTAATAATTTACAAAATGAGGAAGTCAGCTGTAAGTCAGGTAAGAGACTTTGCACAGGTGCCATTCACATTTACGAGCCTGGTTCAAACCCTGGCCTCTGACCAAAGATCCGCTTACAACGAGCCGTTCAAAGGATTAGCCCCTTTCTGCCGCCCTCTCTCTCATGGCAGATTTCCAAGAGGCGGCAGTGGCGAGGCGGCAGTGGCGAAACAGCAGTCACTCAAAGCCTCAACCTTGCGACGCAGCATAAGGGCACTTGCTCCACCAGGCTCAGGTAGAGCCGGCACGCTCGCTTCAACATCAGAGCCGGGGGCGGCCGTGAACCCCTCAGACGCATCAAGTTGCTCCCTTCCCACTCGTGTTCGCAGCCTGAGGACCTTCCCAGTATGTCCTGTCGAAAGTGAGGGTTCCGAGTCCTCAGGATGCACCACAGGCCCTGCGGAATGGTGGGCGCCTGGGCCTCTGGCACTGTTGGCTGACACCGAGGCATTGTCTAGAAGTGTCTGCCGGCTCGCCTCCACCAGAGAAAGCACAGTTCTTAGCTTTATCTCAGGCGACCTTTTGGGCAGGTCTGATTCCAAATCTTATTTCTGAAGAGTCAGTTTGAAAGTGATATCCTTTTATTATTTTTAAATAAAAAAATCTATCTAAAACATAGATGCTTTTGTGTCATCAAAATTCCTGCAGCCCTGGGGCCGGCCCGGTGGCGTAGCGGTTAAGTTCACACGTTCTGCTTCGGCGGCCTGGGGTCCGTGTGTTCGGATCCCGGGTGTGGACATGGCACCGCTTGACAAGCCATGCTGTGGCAGGCGTCCCACATAGAAAGTAGAGGAAGATGGGCACGATGTTAGCTCAGGGCCACTCTTCCAAAAAAATAAAAAAAATTCCTTCGGGCCTGGGCTGCATTCATGAGTCTTACCTGAAGAGGGAGCAGCATGCGGCCGACAGTGCTTGTTATTAGGCTACCGGAAACGAACACACTTAGAACATGGACCTCTAACAAAATGACAGTACTAGATGTCAGCTGTGGTTATATGTTTAAAAAAAGAGAAACTTCTGTCTTCTTTTGCCGGCCTTTGATGGTAATCAAATCTAACCATTCGCTTTAGAAACAAGGACAGTGAGGTCCAGACAGACCGCAGCCCGTGGCTGGCCCCTTCCTGCCCACCCAGCCCTCGGGTCAGGGCAAGGATTGTCTTTTCACACAGCCCCAGCTCCACCTGTCAACCTGGAGCGCTCTCTTTGCGTGGCAATAAACCAACAGATGAGGATGACCGTCCAGTGATCTCTGTAGGAAAGGGTTTCTCCGGAACGGAGGAGTCGGAGCGTCGCACGGGTGCCGCTCAGTTTTGGGGTGCTGCGATCTCACCTCTGAGTCCAGTATATGAAAGGCAAGCGCAGCGGGAAGCGGGTCGTTGATAACTGACAGAGGGGAGGGGTCTCGCCGAGGGGCAGGTTTGGCAGATGAACTTTCAGCACATAGAAAGAATTGGAAGATTAGAAAAAGACATACAAAAAGGGAAGGCAGCTGTTCTTTAGGCGTCTAACTGTTCTTCTGCTGTCCGTTGAGTAACTTGGAAGAAACAGAGCTTTTCAAAAATTGTTTATATGACTCTTCGATAAGGAATATTTTCCAGAATGGACGTGCTACAAAAGCAATCAAAAGTGAAAGGCACTTTTTCTTCTAAATTGTTGCCTTTAATAATTTCACTAATTCTTGTCAACCATTTTTATGGGCCTGCTTATTAAAAATAAAAGATCTATGCTGAAACATCAGAGGATCAGACAAAGTTAACTCTCCTCTGAGAACACCTACCATGTTAGAATATAAAAAAAGTGGCTTCCGGAGTCTGATTTCTTTTAATTACCTGTATCGGGCGAGTAAAAAGACGCTGTAGACACAATGAATGCTTTCCTAACACGACACCTTCAGTGCAGGCTAGCAGAGCTGTTCAGGGAGCCTGATTTGGTTTGAATTGGGGCCACTGGCTCCTGTGTGGAGCCTGCTCTTAGAACACACCAGAAGGCTAACGGACACTAGTGGGGCTGTTGCACACACACAGACACACACACACAGTCTGAGTCCGCCTTTCTCCTGGCGCATGTGGACAGCGCCATCAGCTCAGCTCTGGGGCCGGGCTGGGTCACTCCTCAGACTTGTACTCCGGACTCTGCTGCTGCGTCCTGGACAGAACACGCTCGTAGAACAGCAGGTAGGCGCTGGAGGACAGGACCTCCTGCAGGCTCGCCTTGCGCACGCTGTCATCAGAAATCCACAGCCACTGGCTGCTGGTGGAGAGAGGGTTCTTGGCGGAAGGTGGGGACCGTCGGTAAGTCACAAAGTGTCCAGAGTGCATGTCTCCATGGTGGACGACAACTGCCATCAGCCGGAAGAGGTACGAGGAGGAGCTGGACAGTAGGAACAAATGCCAGTGCTTTACAAACACAGCAAAGGAGGTTTACGGGCAGAAACAAAAAGTAAAAGAGTCCTAGATGACAGGGGACTGAAACAACGGTCCATCCAGACAACTGAACACTATCCAACCATTCAAGTACGGACCGGCTTTCCCGGCATGGGGAGACATCCATCCTATGAGTGTGTGTACTGTGTGTCTCTGATATTGTGTGTATGTACACACATACACTCAGCTTTCCAGAGTGGACGACCTTAAAGATTTAACTGTGATCTATAGGTGGTATCCCAAGAAATTTAAAATTTTCTTGTTTATACAAACATTCATACATCTAGACAGACATACACATATATTTAAATTGTATGTACTTTTATAATTCTTATTTTTAAAGTGATTTCCGTTTTGGACAAAAACAAATGGGTGAATGTGTAATAGTGAAAGTCTACCTTAAAAATGAAAGAAAAAATTAATCTCTGCATTTTTATTCATTTCTGTAGAAGCTAATTTTGGAAACCAAGAGAAACAGCCTACAGTGAATGAAGAATGTGCTCCTAAAGAGAGGCTCACCTGTAGTCAGGAACAACTGGGAGGGGGAAGGGCATCGGGGTTGGCAGCGTAGGCAGTAAAGACGGGGAGCAGGCGCCATTCATAAAAATTTGTGTTTTGGGGCCCCCAGGCTGATTCAGAACTGCAAGAGAAAAAGGCCCAAGGCAATTAAAGTCAGCGGTGGTTTTGGGTAAATAAAACATGGTTTTGATTACCTTGAAATTTAACTGCCTAATAATGCTACAAAGAAAAAACAAGTGTTTGATTTTGTATTACGCTGATTCATAAAATTTCCTCCCTTTTTATCCGACTGCTTTAATCCCCAGCAGGAAGAGTGCACTGAGCTCCTGGTCTACCGCTCACGCTGACAGCTCTGTGCATCTGTGAGGCCTCTATCCCTGTTTGCCAGACACGTGTCAGTTAAGCAGCAGCTAATTGACTGGCATTCTGATCTAAACCAAGGTTTCTCAACCTTGACACTATTGACATTTGGGGCTGGATAATTCTTTGTTGTGAGGGGCTGTCCTGTGCATTGTAGGATGTTTAACGGCATCCCTGGCCTCCACCCACTAGATACCAGTAACACCCTTCTTCCAGTTGTGACAACCAAATATGTCACCCGCCATTGCCCAATTCCCCTGGGGGGCAAAAGTCCCTGTTGAGAACCACTGATCTAAACCTTCTCTCTTCTTTAATTGTTAGCTTCTGAGGAATACCAACATGTAAGCACGTTAATCTATGTTTGTGGGTGTAGATAAAGTAATTAAGGAGACATCTTCATCTCTCTTCCTTTCACGTGTCATATTTGGGGCCTTTAAGCACCAAGTAGTTCGCTGATGGCCTCTTTAGCCCCAGCCACCATGCTTTGAACATGAGCAGAGCTGCACCTGACCCAGGAGAGGAGGAGGCTAGGGTGAAGAGATCCTGGGTTTAAGACGGGCCAAGAACTGAGCCTTCTTCCCGCCCAAGCTGTCCCTGACGCTGATCCCTTGACCCATGGAGAAAGGGCAAAACAGGCTCCCTAGGAGTGACATCCTGCCAGGCATGCAATTGTGGATGCAGAAAAGAATAAAAGTAGCAAGGGGAGCAGGGGGCAGGGAAGACAGTCCTGACGTGCGGGGGCAGCACGCGGACAGTGAGTTTGGGCTTGGTGCCCGAGGTCGGTGGGTTTCCTCATCTGTAACTGTAAAGAACCCAATACATTATGCAAGATACTTCACAAACTGCCCCAACACCACCATCTAGGGCCAGTGCTCCCATCTGCTGTTTGCCCTTGGACCAGTCATTCAGCCTCTTGGAGCCTCGACTTTCTCCTCAGAAAGACTGAGGGTAAGAATGGCCCCCTTGCTTCCCCGGGACCTGATTCAATGAGGAACCTCAGGTGAGGACGGTGATGGAATCAGATAAGTAACTCGGTAAAGAGGAAGGATCCGCGCAAATAAGACGTTCAGAGATCTTTAACAGGACGTGTCCTCCCCACGTTTCCCGTATAAACGAGGTGACTGTGCTGGGGGAGCAAAAGGAAGAGGAGAAGTTCACTGCAATGACGTGAGCCGATGCTTGTTCGGTCAAGAGACCAGAAAGCAAGACTGCGATCTTAAGCTTTCCTGCCTATATTTTTTCATCTGTAATAGAGGTTTTAAAACTACACATCTCATGACTATATAGCTTTAACCTCTTTTAAGAAATCTTCCCTCTCCCACCCTCAATCCTGCTGTTCTCAAGAATTTAAGCAAACGCTGTACACGCTTCGCCCTCACGGCACAAGGGACCAGGAGGTGGGGATGCCGGTGTCCTTGTCTGTGTGCTGCAGGCTCCTGCTGCCTCGCGTCCTCGGGCACACACCTGATCTGGGGGCTGCCGGCCCGTCCTGCAGTTCCACCACAGGCCCCGGGTTCTCCTTCAGTTTCGGGCCACGCTGACCAGGTTTATGTCCGAGGAGGTGGTACTTGTAGATGTCCATCATCAGGAACTCATTAAACTGCACGTGCTCGTGCCGCTTCAGGGGCGTGCCGTGGCTGGACCAGCTCAGCCGCTGGAGGTGGATGCACAAGCACTGAGGGAGCTGCAGGGAGAGAAACCGGGAGGAGCCGAGTGTCGGAGAGGGACCCAGGGAGTCCTCGAGAGCAAAGCCGCCGAGGGGGATGGTGTGCGCTCACCTTCCCCAGCTTTAACTGTTTAACAAAAGTGGTCCTCTGGTGCTCCACCTTCTCCCCGTTCAACGTCCCTTTGGCTTCGATCTGAAATAAAAGAAACGTCTCTGTGCAGAAATCTGTGACGCAGGACCTCTGTGGAGAGCTGTAGGTCAGGCGGGCGTTAGACTGCATTCAGCTGGTGCTTGACTTCTCTCTGGGAAAGAACTCAGCTGCCCAGCTACGTGTGAGTTGTTTTCACTGTTGTAGTCATTAAGTAACAGTGACAGTGGAGGCAAGAGAAATGAAGAAGGAACTCTAAACTCTGACAGTGGCATATAATCTCTTTTGTTCTGTGTCTTTAAGAATTCTCTTCCACACAGTTCCTCCTCATTCAGAGGATGACGTTCACTTGCTTAGGGGAGTCAGGCAGGTAGTGTAGGTAAGGCGGGGTGTGAGACAAGCGGGAATGGAGGGGACTGTAGCAAACTGGAGAGGACATGTCCCATCTCAAGGATGGCGTTCAAATTTTTAAACATTCTGTGGATGAAACAAAACTCATCTGAGAAAGAGATTTGGTCCTCGGGCTGCCAATTTCCTAAGCAAGTTAGGTAGAAATGGCTGTGGCTAAAAAGATCCTCTGGGTATAGTCAGCAGAGCTCAGGGCCAATGGTGTGACAGGCACTATATCAGGGCCAGCTGGGGAGATGACATTTGGGGTTCGAGGCATACCTTCGTACAGTTGTCACATACAACATCTCGCACTGATTCTGATGAGATGAAGTGGTGAAGGCAGTGGTCCAGGGTCAATGGATGACCCTACAGCACAAAAAGAAGAAAACTCATTATTATAATTCAAAGGACAGCCATACTGAAACTAATAACAGATGGCAATGTGAATCCCAGAGCTTTATTTTTGCTTATATAGACAATAAAGCTTCACAATCACAACTGGATGTTTCCTGAACAAGCGTGGAGCTCAAAGCACTAGACCTGCTGTTACAGATAGATTCAAGGGTATGAGGACATAACATCGCAGAAAGTTACGGACTTCCACGCTGTTTTAGTTATCTTTGAATTTGAGATTCGTGTGTGTGTGTATTAAAAAAGCCAAAATTTCTGCAGCAAGAGAAAAACTGCCCACCTTTTTCTCTCCCCAAAATCAGGACATGGTTCCACGTGTTAAAACTAAGACAGGTTCAACCAACCAACTACATGTCTGAGTAACACACGGTACGTGAGCTACACAAAATGCCTCAAAGCCCTTTCAGATTTAAATGTCTCCAAAACAGACCCAAAATAAGCCATAGACAGTACATACCCACGTGGCAGCTGGAATACTTAGCGAAAGGCTATCAAAGGTATCAAATCGAACAGGACTCTGAAACAGTGCAGAAAAGCCAGAAAGGAGTTAGGTTCAATTCAAAGCTTTATGGATGGGAAGATATATGCCTACAAAACAGTTTACTATTTAGATGCCCAAGATTAACCTAATGAAACATAATGCACTTACCTAGAAGCCAATTCTACTAAAAACAGCCTTGTAAACATAAGAGATACAATAACACTAAAGGGTGGTTTGGGAAAACTCTAAGATAACATACCTGACCCAGAAATTTGGGGATTTTATCCTAAGGAAATAACCATAGACATAACTCAAGGATATTCATCAGCATTATTTACAACAGCAAAATGTGAACAGTTGAAATTTCTAGGGAAGGATGAAATAAATTATATCGTGCACAGAATGGAATACTGTATTAAAAACAGTGTAGTAGACGAATGTATGATTACATGGAAAGATGTACATGTTACATTATTAACTGCGAAAAACAGATGATAAAATAGGGTAGGAATTCCTGCCTTTGGTGATGGCAGAGCAGCTAGACGATCTCTCCTTAAGGTCACAACTGTAAAATTTGGACCAAAACAAAACCATTTGAATGACTGGAGAGCTGTCAAAAGCAGTAAGGAATTGAAAAGAGGTCAACTCGTGGGGAACAGGAACTCCATGGACGAGATCTGCATGTGTGGCTTTTTGCTTGAGGGTCCTCCCCAGTCTACGCAGTTCAGGGTTGGGTGGCAAGAAAGCAGCAGTCTTACAGGATCGAGGTATCAGAGGACAGAGTTCAGGGCTGGTGTAGAGGCTGAGAAAATCCCACAAAGAGGATTTCTCTCTTTTCCACAGAGAGGTTCTGCCCCCAAATCCATGCATCAACCCTGCCCAATTCCACAGCTGACCCCTGAACCACACATACATGGGGGCCTGGCAAAAAGCAGCAGCAGGAAGCTGAAAAAACTGAGCCGAGACTCTGCTGCCCAATGTAGGGAAGACAGAGTTTGGAGTTTGAGCTTAGCCAACTTAGCTGCCCGTCAGGGTAGAATTCATTATTTTTCAGAGAAATGTAACAGAATCCCAAGTCTCTACTACAATGTTAAATATGCAATAAAAAATTACTAGACATACAATACAAAGAAAGTAGAAAATGTGACCCATGGTGAAGGGAAACGGAGGTGACTTGGATGGTGAAATTAGCACAAGGGCATTTATAGGTTTAACCACCATAAAGATGCTCCAGGACACAAAGGAAGATGGAGGTTATTTAGTTCTAGTGGAGGACAAATAGAGAATCTCAGCAGAGAAAGGGAAACGATAAAGAACACAATGGAAATTATACAACTAAGAAGAACAATAACTAAAATGAAACATTCACTGGACAGGCAGAGACTGAAGATGGAAAAGAGAGTCAGTGAACTTGAAGACAATAGAAATGATCTAATGTGAAGGACATGGAGGAAAGAGGTCGAAGAAAAAGGAACCAAGCCTCAGTGACCTGTGGGACAACATCAAGCAGACTGACAAGTAGAGAATGGGGCATAAAATTTTTTGAAAAAATAATGGCCAAAAAATTGTGCAAATTTGGTAAGAAACGTAAGTTTACAGATTTAAGAAATTCAGCAAACTTCAAGCAAATACAAAGAAAACCATACCTATGCGCAGCAAGGACAAACTGCTGAAACCCAAAACTAAAGAGAAAATCTTGTAAGCGGCCAGAGGAAAAAATGACACTTTACATCCAGAAGATATAAATGATACTAACTTCGCATTAGAAAACATGAGGCCAGAGGACAAGAGAACAATGCCTTTAAAGCGATGAATTTAAAATAAACCAAACCAAAACAACAGCAACACTGTCAACCCAGAATTCTACATCCAGCAAAACTATTCTTCAAAAAAAAAAGGCAAAACAAAAACATCTTCATATAAATAAAATCTAAGTGAATTTGTTGCCAATAGACCTGCAAGAAACGTTACAGGAATCTTCGTAGGCTGAAGGGAAAAACATCAAATGGACCGGGGTCTACAGAAAAGACTGAACACTGAAAATGGCAAATATAAAACTTTTTTTTCCTTTTAATTTCTTTTAAACATACATAACTGTTTAAAGCAAAAATTATGACAGTATTGTGAGGTTTATAATTTGTGTAGATATAATATATATGACACAAATAGCAAAAGCAAAGGGTAACAGAACTATACTTTTGTAAGGTTCTTATATTTTACACAAAGGAGTGTGACATTAACTCTAAAGAAACCATAAGTTAAAACTGCATGATGTAATCACACACACACATACAAATGTAAAATAGTATAGCTAAAAAGCCAACAGAGGAATTACAACAAAATACTAAAAAGCATTCAATTAACCCAAAAAAAATGAAAGAAAGAAGGAACAGAGGAACAATAAATATATGAGACAAACAGAAAACAAATGGTAAAATAGCAGACCTAAATCCAACAATATAAATACTTACATTAAATGAAAATGGACTAAACATGCCAATTAAAAGGCATATTATCACACTGGATAAAAAAGCAAGACCAATTATATGCTGTCCACAAGAGCCACACTTTAAATACAAAGACAAAGATAGGTCAAAAGTAAGAGAGCAGAAACAGACGTACCATAGAAACACAAGATAGACGGAAACGACTCAGACGAAACAGACTTCAAGACAAGGAGTCTCACCAGAGACAGAGGGACACTTTATGATGACAATATAAGTCAACTCATCATAATTAATTTATGTGTATGTGCTAATAGAAAGTCTCAAAAGAAATTCAGCAAAAATAGAACTAAAGAAAGAAAAAGAAATACACAAATTCTAGCAAACATTTAAGGAAGAACCAATATGAATGTTAACCAAAGTCCTTCAGCAAAAAGAGGAGGAGGGAACACTTCCCAGCTTATTTTATGAGGCCAGAGTAATCCTTACAACAAAACCTGACAAAGACATTACAAGAAAACTGTAAGGCCAACATTCCTCATAAACACAGACACTAATATCCTTTAGAAAATATTAGCAGATCAAATCCAGTAATAAATAAAAACAATAATACGTCACAATAAAGTGGAGTTTATCCTAGAAACACAAGGCTAGTTTAACATTAGAAAAATCAAAAGAAACAAAAGAAAAATCAATCACTGCAATTCACTATATTAACGAAATAAAAGAAAAAATTATGATCATCTCAATATATGCAGGAAAAACATGACAAAATTCAGCATGATAAAAAAACTCTCAGCACACCAGGAACAGAACTTTCTCAGGGTGATAAAAGGGGCATATTAAAACCCAAAGCTAATATCATAATTAGGATACAGCAAATACTTGCTTCTTAACATCTGAAACAAGGCAAGGATGTCTGCTATCACCACTCCTATTCATCTTTGTACTGGAGGACCTCACCATGAAAATAAGGCAAGAAAAACAAATAAAAAGCATAAAGATTGGAAAGGAAGATGTAAAACTTCTATTCACAGACAAATGATTGTTTACACACACAGAAAATTCTAAAGAATATACAAGACTTCTAGAACCAATAAATCTTTGCAAGATCCAAGATATAAGGTCAACATACAAACAACAGTATTTCTATATACTAGTGGCAAACCATTGGAAAATAATTTTAAAATTCCATTTACAACAGCATCAAAACACAAATAAAAAAAAAAGATGAATGGGTAACTTATAGACCAGAAGATATTTAAGCTCGATCAGTGACTTGTAATGTATGGACCTTATTTTAAAAAAAAGATTCAACATCATTAGTCATCAGGGTAATGCCAATTAAAACCACAATGAGATACCACTTCACACACACTAGGATGGCTAAAACTTAAAAAGTCAGATAACAAGTGTTTGTGAGGATGTAAAAACGTTGGAACCCTCATTTACTGCTGGTAGGAACATAAAATGGTACAGCCACTTCGGAAAACAACCTGGCAGTTCCTCAAAGGTTAAATATAGAGTTGCCACATGAGCTAGCACGTGTATTCCCAGGTATCTACCCAAGAGAAATGAAAACATATGTCCACACAAAAACTTGTACACAAATGTTCATGGCAGCATTATTCATTATAGCCAAAAAGTGGAAACAACCCAAATATCCATCAACTGATGAATGGATAAACAAAATGTGGTCTATCCATACAATGGAATATTATTTGATAATAAGAAAGAAGGGGCATGGCGGGGGGCGGGGGGTGATGAAAATTGATTGAGGAGACAGTTGCACAATTCTCTATTTTTGTATTATGTTGGAAATTTTCCCTAACAAAAAATTACTTGAAAACCTCAAAGGCAAAAATAAAACAAAACAAAACACCAGCCCTAGAATCTGCTGTGTGCCATGAGTATAGACCCAACCTCAGGACTCGAAATCCTGCCAATCCACAATGGATCCGCTGCTCTTGGCGCAGAAGATGCCACCTGAGGATCAACTGACGTGTCAGCACTGACCGAAAGGGGGCAGTCGGTCCACTACGTGTACACAGCCCAGGCATTCTCAAATGCAATACCGCAATGTCCATCTACTCCTTCTAGATCCTTCATGAATCTTAACTTAAAAGAAAACCTCACCAGAAAACATCAAGTATTGATAACGTCTTTACCTGGTGTTCACAGTGCTTGCAGACCATATTACTAGTAAGTCTCCCGTGGAAAGGATGCTGAGACTTCCAGTGAGTGAACGTGGGATGCAGTGACCCTGGAATACAGAGCATCCTTTGATATGCCAACTTTAGCCCTTTGGCGTCAACCTCGAAATTCACCCTCCTTTTTACTAAGTGGTAGAAACTCCCTCTTTAGAAAAAAAACCTTCCTGAAAAGTAAACTGAAATAGCTTTCCTTATTGACTTCCCCCCAAAAATGACAGCCTAGTCCTTTCACGGGAGAATTTACACAGGTCCTTAAATATGGTTTCTGCAGAATGGGTACAGCTACATTTAAGAAAGGAATTTGTGTTCACTAATGTCTTTTTTACAAACACATACTTAAAATGCTTGCGGTGTCAAAAAAAGGATACCACAGGTGAATATTGTATAAAGTGACATAAACTTCTGAAATCATCAGAATAAGTAAGTTCTGAAAAACTAGGATTTTCTCTGGCTAGCATGGGGGTTAGTGGAATAAACACAGAGTGGTATGTGAGTTAGAAACACAGGCTCCTGGGCTGGGTCCTGGCTTTGCTTTTTATCAGCTATGTGACCTGAGAAGTCCCTTCATCTCTGTAAGCCTGTTTGCTGGAAATGGAGAGAAGTATTATTCCCTTATCCCCACCACTATTAATTCCATTGAGTTGTCAGGCTTACATGAGATATTACAGAGCCTGGCAGACAGGGTGGGCTCAAAAGACAACCATTCTTATTCCTGCTTAGTACAACCGTACATATTACACAAAGGAACTGATGTGTCTTTTTTTTTTTTCCAGGTTTAAGTCTTAAGAAAACAATGATTTCCTTCTAAAGAGGACAGTGATAATTTGCAGTAAAAGTTGGCCCAAATGCAAATACTGAGGACACGCCAGTTGCAGCTTATTAAGTTCCTCACGAGATCGATTCAAGAAGGTAAAAAGAAGCCCCTTGTTTGGAGTAGAAATAAGTCTGTTTAGAGGAAACTGAGCAGGGCTGCGGTGTGAGGGAACAATTCAAGATAGGCACCGAGGGAACAACTTGAAGCTGTTTTCCACAATGCGAGTTCCTCTGTGAGTACACACACTGCAAGCTGGAACAGATGTCACCAGAAAAAAACTTTTTCTAAACATAAACCAAATGACTGTCCTATCTAACAAGCACCCGCCTTGCATGTTACGGTTCCATGGCAAACGCGTACCTCTTGTGCGGCAGGTTATCTGCTTGGGAGTTGCTTCTGACTGCTGCTGTAGGGAGAAAAAAGGAAGGCTGAAAACCCTCCTGCCATGCCCTTCAGCCCCTCACCCCACTCCCACTTCTTACAGTTTCTGTGCTGACCGCACCGTCACAAGTCAACTGCAAACAAAGGTTTCTGAAAGCAGCCTTTCAGAACCCACTCTGTTGGTTACTGTTCCTATTCCTTCACCAAATGCAACTGGAACACATTTCCTCTCCAGGGTATCTCCCCCTTTACTAGTTAACTTTTACCAACTCCCTAACTTTTATACTGTTCTGGGGAAATGAGGGTTCATTTGGCATTCCTATGGCTCCTTGTTCCCCTGCATTAAACAGAGGGGGAAAAAAAGCATTCTTTTTTCTCAAAGCCAACACAAATTACAGCAACGCATCATTTTGTTTTCTTTAAAGCCTGTCAGCTGACCTAACATCTGTTGCCAATCTTCTGTTTTTCTTCTCCTTCTCCCCAAAGCCTCTCACTACATAGTTGTATATTCTAGTTGTAGGTCCTTCTGGTTGTGCTATGTGGGACGCCGCCTCAGCTGGCCTGATGAGCGGTGCCATGTCCACGCTCAGGATCCGAATCGGTGAACCCTGGACCACCCAAGCAGAGCGCGAACTTAACCACCCGAAATGCATCATTTTAAAGAGACCTGACATCCCTAATGAAAGTCACCAACTGCAAAGTTCACAGTGTATGACCGGCCCCCAGCCCCACTCCCACTACTGATTTTTACTGAATCTTACTTTTGAGTGTAAAGTTGTACAAAGATTTACACTTAAGTTCCTACACCTATTAAACATGCACAAACCCCATTAAATGTACTGAAAATATTACTGGTTTACCTCCAGGGAGTGAACATCAAACAAATGTGTGACCCGGGGCTGGCGGTCCCGCTCATCCTCCAATGACGAGGTAATGACGTGGAATAACTCATGAGCATCCTGTCAAGGGCAAAGCATTCTTCAGAGAGGCCCGAGGAGGTGGGGCAGCACCAGAACCACCCCTACATGGACTGCGGGGCAGACCCCCTATGGCTAACGAGGGCAGAATTTCCTTTCCACCTTCTCGAAGCCCAGCTCATTACACAGAGACAGTTACATTCTAGACTTTTCACAATAAAGACCCTCAACCGAGAGGCCCAAGGGGAGAGAAGGAAAGAAAGGTGGGTGGGCTGCCTCCACGCCAGCTCTCTGGAACCTGTTTTAGCTTTATCTAGATGGCCCTGACTTCCCCTCCACCTGACTACACTTTTTCTTGTTTTTATTGCGATAAAATGCACATAACATAGAATTGACCATTTTATCCATTTTTAAGTGTACCATTCTGTACTGTTAAGTCCTTTCACATTGTTGTGCAACCATCACCACCATCCATCTCCAGAACTTTCTGTTCTTCCCAAACTGAAACTTCGTACCCATTAACACTAACTCCCCCATCCCCCACCCCCAGGCCCTGGCGACCACCATTCTACTTTCTGTCTCTACGGATCTGAGTCCTCTAGGGACCTCATCTAAGTGGAATCATACAGGATTTGTCTCTGTGTGACTGGCTTATTTCACTCAGCATAACGTCCTCAATCCATGCTGTGGTGTGTGTTGGAATTTCCTTCCTTTTCAAAGCTGAATAATATTCCATTGTGTGTATACACACACACACATTTTGTTGATCCATTCATCCCTGTGGACAAGGGTTACGCCCACCTTTTGGCTATTGCCAATAACCCTGCTCTGAACACGGTGCACAAATGTCTGTCTGAGCCCGTCCTGCAGTTCTTTGGGTGCACGCCCAGCAGTGGAACGGCTGCAAAGACGGCAGAGGTGCACTCTTTAAGGGTCAACTCAACCGCTGCCTCCCAAAAGGCCAAAGCCACGGCTCCCTCTCTCGGCTCCCTCTCTCGGCGGCTGCTGGTCCTCACTCAGCCGTCTCAGCCTCCACTCTCACCCTCCCTCCAGTCACCAGAGTGATCTTTTGAAAGGCAAATGACGTTACTCATCTGCTTTCAACTTTCCAAAGGCCTTCACTGCTAGAATGAACCCATTGTAGCCGGCCCACAAAGGCTGACCGGCCCCTAGAACCCTCTCGCTCCCTCCCTAGGCCCAGCTCCTGGCTCCTGTTAGCGCCTTGAAGCACCAGGCCAATTCCCGCCTCAGGGCCTGGGTCTTTCACGCACTCTCGCCCAAGGAGCTTTGTCCAGATCTTCACAGAGCTGCCCCTTCTCACCCTCCAGGCCTCTGCTCAAAGGGCAGCTCCTCGGGGAGGCCCTCCCTGACTTAACCCTACCTCAGGCCAATTCAGCAGGCGTCCTGCAGGCTTGACCTCCAAAATAGCCCCTAGTCCCTGAGGATTCTCCACCCCCTCTGCCTCAACCCCAGCCTCAGCCATGCCATCCCCGGCCTGGCTATCTGCAACAGCCTCCCAACTTTCCTCTCTGCTCCCCTCTTGCCCCGCAACGGTCCCTCCTGGACGCAGCCGCCAGCAAGGGCCTGTTCAAACCTAAATCAGATCAAACCAGCCCCCTGTTCAAGGCCTCTCCCGCCTCCGCACTGCACACGGAGCAGAGGCCAGCTCCTGCCATGGCCTCCGTGCCCTGCACAACCTGCTCCCTGCCAACCTCTGCGACCCCCTCCCCCACTGCTCCCCCAGCCCCCGGCCCGGCCACACCGGCCTTCTGGCCGTTCTCCAGACACTGCGTCCTTACAGCTCTCCCAAGGCCTGGCCCTGGCTTGTCCCGTCTGGAACACGCTGCACGCACACCTTCACGGGCCTCACTTCATGTTGGACTGCAGGCCTCAGGTGAAAGCGGGGGTCTCCGGAAGAGCCTTCCCCACCTAAAGTAGTCCCGTCACTTCTCTTACTCCCTAGCGCCCACCAGAACGTGTGCTCCGTGAGAGCAGGACCCTACCAGCCAGGCTTGCCGCTACCACCCCAGGCCCTCGATAGGCCCTGCCCGAGGCGGCAGTCAGTAAAGAGTTGTTGCACGTATGGATGAATCCCCTCCTAGGCTACGAAGAGCGGTGAGCAAGAGAGTGACGGAGAGTCAAAGATAAATAAGGCAAGGCTCTTGTCCTCGAGAGACTCACAACCCAGGGCAGATGTGGCAGCCTAGCTATTATCCAGCAGCACAGTGCTACAGCCCTGTCGTGACCAATGAGCCCTCGGAGCCTGAGGGAGGACCAGCTCTTCCTGGGAGGCCGCACAGACAAGGCGTCCAGGCCAATCCTTGAAGCATGAGGAGAGGGTCACCAGAGAGCAAAATCCCAAGACAGGATGGAGTTGGATCCGAAGCCTACTCCGTCACAGTCAGCCATGTAACTACTCGGCTTTGAGAAAAGAACAGCATTGCAGTAGAGAGTGGAGCTGGAGAGCATGTGCTGTAGTGCCAGACTGGCTTGAATCCTGGCTCTGCCACTTAAATAGCTGTGTGACTGTGGGCAAGTCACTAAACTTCTCTGAACCTTAGTGTTCTCATCTGTAAAGTGGGGATAATAACAGTAACTCCTCACTGGGTTGTTGTAAAGATTACATCAGGTAATGTACACGAAGCAAGCACTTAGCCCAGTGCATCCCCGAGAGCTCTAGCTTTAGGAACTGATAGTAGAAGTTTGCTGGTGATTGACTAGATCACTGATAATGAAGACATGGACAATGCCTCATGCTAGGGGCTCTGCATGCCTTCAAAGAGGGAGACCAACAGACAGACACGCTCCTCTTCTCCACGCACACACACTATGGCACTACGTGGCTCCGTGACTGCTGTGGGCTGAAGATGTTGGAAGTACTTCCAAGGAGTAACTGGGACTTAAGTGGGTCCTTAATGGAAGGACAGGACTTAGAAAAGGTATCTGATGTCCTTAAGGACTAAATCTTAGTCACGCTCTCAGTTTAGAGAAATGTCAAATGTAGCTAAATAATTCCAGCTACCAGAGAAGGATTAAAAAAGTACTTTCTAAACAGAAAAACATTTAAACATAAAGAGATTAATCAGGATGCATTTTAAGGAAGTAAAGATACCATCAACATCACGTTGAGAAAGTAACACAAACATGGCTTTCAAGTGGAAACAAGAGACCATCTTTACAGAGAAGAGGAGCGAGAAAGCCTTCCCACCTCACTTGGCAGAGTTTCAAATGCCTCTCACTTCAGCCCCACAGTTCTGGGAGCCTGAAGGCTGTCCCATTTCTCTGATCCAGTGTCTGGACAGTGGAGGCAGAAACAGCCAACACAAAGCTGGACAGGGCCCTCCTGGACATGTGGCCAGCGAGGGTGTCCTCATACACCACTGAAAGCACATTTTTTGTCCCTAGAGCTTCGCTCTCTCAGCCTCAGCCTCAGCCCTGACATCAGTAATAGCGATCTGGGGAGGAGGACGTGGCCAGGACCAAAGACGACAGTGAAGCTGTAGCTGTGCAAAGCGGGGTGGAAGTGGCTGGAATAAGGCCCTGGGGTTGCCTATGACAGATGCTCCAGATTTGGGGCCACTTGAAGCCAGCCCCTGAAGACTGATTTTTTTTTTTTAAATGAAGATGTGGTTCAAAAAAGGGTCTCACCTAAACCTCTGGGCCTCTAAGGTGAAGCCACTTGCCTCTCTCTAAAGGACCCGGATGTTGCTATCATCCACTGAAATGCAACGTCACTCAAGAACGGAAGAGATTTTCTCTTTTTGTTAACTGTGTGTTTATGCCCTAACCTCCCAACTCCTCTGATCATGAGAGGAGGAATAAAGTTCATGATCTGGTCCCAGAACACTGCGGCTGTCTAAAATGCCACAGAAATGTACACTCGGGCCAGGCCACTGCAAGGTTCATGCTGGCGTTTCTTCCTCCCGCTGCAGCAACGCAGCTGTTCTTCAGCGAGCACTGCAAACTCAGGCCCCAGCCCACTAGCGGGAAGGATTCTCCAAGTAAACCTGCTCTGAATGTTGCGTTCACCTGCTCTTCAAATGAAGAGATCTGCCATCTGTACATTCTTAAGACATCCAGCAAGCAGCTTGCATCCAAGACCTCATCATCAGTAACTTCTTGGCAGGATAAAGCTGGAAACAAAGAAGGTACACAAATATTAAGTTCGCCAGTATAACGACCAGCCAGAAAATCTGCACAGCGCAACGTATCAAAGCAAACTAAAACTTTAAGGACTGTAAAATTCACCTTGAATTACATCTTTCATCATCCTTCCTTGTAGCTGTACCCAATGCTGAGTACACTATTAGGAAAGTCATGTTTACTAATTGAAAGTAATGTTTCATGAGGCTGCAGCATTTAAATGAAGTAATTGATTTTTAAGTATCTGAATTACCACCATGAAAATAAATTTATTATTACAAGATTCTTACTGGACAAAATGATTTTACTTATTTATTGTTTTGAGGAAGATTAGCCCTGAGCTAACTGCTGCCAATCCTCCTCTTTTTGCTGAGGAAGACTGGCCCTGAGCTAAGACCCATGCCCATCTTCCTCTACATTATACATGGGACGCCTACCACAGCATGGCTTTTTGCCAAGCAGCACCATGTCCGCACCCCAGATCTGAACCGGCGAATCCAGGGCCGCTGAGAAGCGGAACGTGCGAACTTAAGGGCTGTGCCACCGGGCTGGTCCCTGAACAAAAATGATTTTAACTCACACGCTCAGGGGTGGGAGGGCCCTTAAACACTCATCTAGTCCAAGTCCACACCCAGTGCTTCACTCCTCTCCAGGGAGTCTCTCCCATGGCTATAAGGACTTCGCTTCTATTTGCTTACGTTTGCATTTCTGATTATTATGGCAAAGCATCAAGCTATATGTGGCAGCCTGAATGGATCTGCTGAGTGGCTTACTTTTCAGTCATAAGTAGAATTGAGCCTAATAAATAACAATAAAAGGTTGATGGGCTTATGAATTTATATTGTAATTATATCTAGATCACAGGTTGGCAAACTTTTTCTGTAAAAGGTCAGAAGGTAAGTATTTTAGGCTTTGCGGGTCTCTGAAGCAATACTCAACCCTGCCACTGTAGCACAAACACAGCCACAGACAATACATAAACAAATGGGCATGGTCATGTTTCAATAAAACTTTACAAAAACCTGTGGCCCCAAGGCCCGATTTGGCCCAGGGGCCATAGTTGGCTGACTCCTGATCTCGACCGTCCCTGTTCCCACAGTATATTACGATGGACCAGTATATTACACTGGCCCAGCACTGCTGGAGCGTGGGAGAGAAAAATACCGGGGCCTGCCATCTCAGCGCGGTTTCTGCAAGTTCAATACACTAAGCCAACCTGTCTCTTCCCTTTGATTTGCAGTCAGTGAACTTGAGAGATTCCTTTGAATACTTCAGGCCCTGACCCTGGAGGTTCTGAACACTGCCACCCCCACCCCCGTGTGAACGTGGTTAGTGACTTGAGTGTGACCTGTGGAGAAGCAGCAGGGCTGGCAGCCAGTGCTGTGAAGTCCCACGGCTGGTCTCACCAGTGCAAACACACCCTGAGGTCAGACCTCTACCCTCCAGGACAAAGGGAGCCCATTAGGAAAGGCAGGGTGTCTTCCCTCCTCCTCCTGCCCCCCTCGGGCACAGCCCTTTTGTTAGCGCTTTCCCTCCCCAGGAAAATTTGAATATCCCCTTTAGCTCAATTTTGCCTAAAACACTGTGGGGCAATTTGGTGATGTCTACTAATTTTCATATCCTACAATCCAGCAATTTGACTTTGTCAGCATCTACCCTAGGGAAACACCAAGGCCCGGAAAGCAAATGGCTAGATAAACTGGGGTGTCTTGATTCTACAGATACTGGGCAACTGTAAAAGGGAATGAAGTTTGCAAATCACATATCTGATAAGGGACTGCTATCCAGAATATATAAAGAACTGCTACAACTCAACAACAACAAAAATACAGACAATCCAATTCAAAAATGGACAAAGGATTTGAATAGACATTTCTCAAAAAAAGACATACAAATGGCCAATAAACACATGGAAAGATGCTTAATATCACTTATCATTAGGGAAATGCAAATTGAAACCACAAATCACTTCACACCCATCAGGGTGGCTATTATCAAGAAGACAATAACAAGTATGTGAGGACGTGGGGGAACTCTGTGCACTGCTGGTGGGCATGTAAAATGATGCAGCCATTATGGAAAACAGTATGGCAGCTCCTCAAAAAATTAAACAGAATTACCATTTGATCCAGCAATTCTACTTCTGTGTATATGCCCAAAACAGTTAAAAGCAGACCCTTGAATAGCTATCTGTATACCAATGTTCATAGCAGCCTTGTTCACAATAGCCAAAAGATAAAAACAACCCAAATGTCCACTGACTTATGAATGGATAAACAAAATGTAGTGTATACGTACAATGGAATATTCATATTAAGCTTCAAAAAGGAATGAAATTCTGACAAATGTTACATCATGGATGAGCCTTGAGGTCATTATGCAAAGTGAAGTAAGCCAGACACAAAAGGACGCATAGTGTATGATTCCACTTAAATGAAGCACATAGTCAACTTCATGGAGACAAAGTGGAATGGTGGCTGGCAGGGGCTGGCAGCAGTGGAGAATGCGAGCGGTTGTTTACTGGGGACAGAGTTTCATATGGGATGACGCAAAAGTTCTGGAGACGAACGGTGGTGATGGTTACACAACAAGGGGAATGTACTTAAAGTTACAGAACTGTATGCTTAGAAATGGTTATGATGGCAAATTTGATATTGTGAATCTGTACCACAATTTAAAAAGATGAGCAAAGGATATGGGCAAGCAATTCACAGATGACAAAATCCAAAAAACCAATAAACTCACAAAAGGAAAAAAAAAGTGAGGTGGAGCCATTTCTCCAATGCATATTTTTTCAATGTGGTTATGAAGAAACATAAGCAATATATCACTTCTCCGGGCATTCAGAAATATGTTTAAATGCACAGACGACGGTCTGGAAGGAGACAGTTCTATTCTACTTGCGGAAGGAAGGAGGGGAGCGGGATTGGGGTAGTGATAAAGGGGACTCTAGCCTTTTCTGTAATGCTTTAATTTTTTACAAGGAGAATTTATTCATGTATTACTTGTATAATTAAAAATTATTTCTAAAAACCAAAATAAAAGACATCGAAAAGCAGGAGCAGAGAAGGGAGCGAAGAGCCAAGGCGCAGCTGCCCAGGACGGCTCTGGTCGCCAGCACTGGGTCACACGTGTGGCAAGAGAGAGGGGCATGCTGAGGTCACGGTTAGGACAATGCCAGAACCTGTGTTACACCTGTGGGGACATGTCAGCTTACATGGTCTCTGGAATGACGGGGGGTTTTTTAATAGGGTAGTAAAAGAATTAGTTTCAAATTGCCTCTTAAACACAGAAGAGCAGAACGTGCTTCATAAAGATTTCTGTGTCAAGCTGAGGTTACATGGGAAAATACCTCCGTGAAGCAATCATAAGCTGAGTGTTTTTTAAATCCAATTTTTTTCTAACTGTGAGAATGATTCTTGTTGAAAGTTTTAGAAGTATAGTTTTGTTTTTTGGAGTTTTTTAAAAGTTTTTAAACCATCAATTGCACAACACCAAAATGGCCACTGCTAACATTTTGGTCTTTTTCTGTCCAGCCTTTATTTGTGGAAGTCTTTGCTTTGCTGAAGTCAAATTATATCATATTTCATATCCTGCTCCCTTAAACTTAATATTATAGCCTACAACCTCTCCCAAATCTAAAAAAAAAAACACTTAATAAAGATGATTATTAACAACTGTGTAATATTCCATTGATTAATGATCCTACTGTCGGACAACCAAATTCTTTCCTTTTTTCCCCATTATACATTATAACTAGTTGGAGATCTTTGTGTTCTGTGGAATGTCTTTGGGAGGTTAACAGATGTTGTGGGGGGAGAAAATAGTTCTTCAGTGAAAAAAGGTAGTTTAAAAATGAGTGACTGTTTTTTTTTTCTGCATTTATCTCCCCAAACCGCCCCCCCATACACAGTTGAATATCTTAGTTGCACGTCCTTCTAGTTGTGGGATGTGGGACGCCGCCTCAACGTGGCCTGACGAGCAGTGTCATGTCCGCGCCCAGGATCCGAACCCTGGGCCGCCGCAGCGGAGCGCGCAAACTTAACCACTCGGCCACGGAGCCGGCCCCTGAGTGACTTCTTAAATCCTTTCCCAGCCCACGTATACTGTGACTCTCCAGGATCGGAGGCCAGTGCCCAGCCATTCTCAAACTGGTTTGCTCTTAGAACTCCAATTCAGGCTAATGTGAATCACGGTCCACAGAACGATATGTCAAACGATGCTGGACATCTTGCAAGTTATTACTGTGTAGTTCCCAACGGCTTTCCAGAGAGGTTGCCCCGAGTTATCCCACCACACAGTGCATGAACACGGCGTCCAACAGCTGGTCAGGATTGTGGATTTGCTTTTCAATCTTTGCTGATAGGCAAAAAAATGGCGCCTTACTATTATGTTATTTATCTCTCTCTGATGACTGCCAAGTTAAATATCTGCGAGTTTGTTAGGTACGTTCTGTATCTATCTAAATACCATGTGTATTATTTCTTTTTGCAAATTACCATCTTTCCTAGGCTAAGACACTTTTTTTTTTTTAACTTTAATGTTTTGGAAACCAGAGTACTTCTTAAAATCAAAACGCTTATGTGGCAGTGGATTTTTTTCTTCCCTAAAAAACTATTACTAAACTGACAATTTTTTAAATAAGTGGTTACATCTTTGATTAAAAAAAAAATACCTGTAAGTATCTATTGGGCTCTTGGTGTTTTTTTTCCTAACGATCTGTATGATCTCTCTATTAACCCTGTGCCTGTGCTCTGGGCTGCCACCATGAAAATGCACACGACCCTCAGCCAGATACCTTTCAGGAGGTGCAGCAGTGTGAGCGAGAGATACTGGTGCGGCGGGGGCTCCATCTGATCCCTGGCGTACTGGCTGGTGAACTCCTCCAGCCACCTGATGAAGGCGGGGCAGGCCGACAGGCCCTGCAGCAGGGAGTTCATGAAGCAGGTGTTCCCGAGGTTGACGAGGCCAGGCACCAGCCCTGAAAGGGAGATGGGAGGAGAACAGCACGTCACGTTGGCCCAGCTCTTTTTCTCTCTCCTACTCAGGACCCAGAGTTTCTGCACTGTGGCCTTGCATTTGAAATCCCAATCTGAAAAAGGCCTTATCCACAGACACCCGAGGCCCAGTCTGAGCAGTGCTCTTTCAGGAGACTGTAAGCGAGAGAAGGACAGGGCCCATCGTGCGTTACTTTTGAAACCCACCATGGTGTCTGGTACAGCTTGGCTTATATTGAAGGTACAAAAACACTTAGTAACATCTCTCCCTCTCTCTCTCTCTCTCTCACTCTTTTGCTCCCTCTTTCTCGCTCTCTCCTTTGATAAGAAAGCAATGTTTCTCAGAACAGAAAAAAACAATTGTTCTGTTGTTGCTCCCCAGGACAATGATCTTGTTCTTAAAATCAGCAGGGAAGACACTACTGTAGCAATTCTGATTAGTCTTTCTGCAAAGAGATCAACAAAATATGACATATTTCCCTCTTCTGCTGAAATTTCTTTAAAAATTCTTTTTACTATAAAAAGTTCTCAAACATGCACAAAAGAAGAGAGGATATATAACGAACCCCAGTCATAACCATCCCCAGACTTAAAAATGATCAACCTTTTGCTACATCTATCCCTTTTTTGTTTGTTTGTTTTTGCTGAATTTAAGTCAATATAAGAAGAGCAACATTTACAAAATGGGGCACTTAAAAAAAATAAATAGAATTTCGTATTAAAGAAACTAACTTGGAACTATTCCTGGTGACTAGCAGCTAGTCAGTGAAACCACAAATCATCACACAATTAGCCAGTTGTACTAGTGAAAAACACAACAGCCATATTAATGAGAACACAGACAATTAAGCCACTTGAAAGTTTTCATTACAAAGCATGCCTCAAACTCAAGACTTCAGAGGGTGAAATGTAAGTCTTTTTACTGCAGGGTATAAAATAATGAATCCTTAAATGGACTCCCGCTTAAAAGGAAGTACTGTTCAAAAACTGAAGATACAGAAGAACCAAGGCCCTCCCCTTTCGCACTCTTTCATAAGGGCTGGGGTCAAGTCTGCAGCCCACAAAGCCATGGCCTCCTTCTTACCTTTTCTACGCTTCTTTCTTTCCGTAATGGGACCCCAAATAACATATATTCCTGCTGCAAGAGCAGCTGCAATTCCACCTATAACACCCCAGTTCTTCATGACTTTATATCTAAAAGAGAAAATAAGTTTACCGTCTTCCCTCGTCACAAACACAATACGTCCATATGCAGATACAGGGACGTGGAAATAGCATTTTGTCAAATAACCCAGTGGCCTGTCACAGAGCTAACTTTTCAAGTTAAAGTAACATACAGTATACGGTTGTATCTTGAAAATCAGCACATTTACACGTTAGGATTGAAAACCCAAGTCAGAGCACAACCTTCCAGAAGTCCCATCACACTCAGAGGGGAAGCCAGGGTTCTCCTGCTCTGCTTCTCACTCTGCCGCCATCCCAGCCATGCTCCCACCTCAGGGCCTTTGCACCGTGGCTCCCTCTGCCTGGGATGCTCTTCCTCCAGATCAGTGCTTGGCTCACTCCCTCACCTCCATTCTCAACAAGGCCTCCCCTGAACAGACTATTAGAACCTGCACTCCTCGTCCCCTTGACCCAGTTCTGCTCTTTGTTTTTATCAGAGCACCTACCACCTTCTAACATAACATCCACATATTCACTACATTTGTCGTCTGTCTCCCTCGACTGGAATGCAAAGTCCAGAGGGCGGGGTCTTTGTCGGTTTTACTCATGACATACCCCAAGTGTCTAGGTCACACCTGGCACCCAGTATGTTGTCAATAATATTTACTGGAAGATTGAGTACTGGCACAAAGATACAGAAATGGATTTCTCTTTCAGATTAGTAAACAGGGAGGGTATACAATAGTATAAAAGATCTTCTAAATATTTATTAAAGATTTCTTACTTTTAGGCTTGACTTGAACACTGAAGTTATTCTTTTACTACAAATGAAGAAATTTCAACAGCAATTTAAAACACTGTTTTTATACAATGTATTTCCACTAAATAAGGCAAACAATACGTGTGTATATATCTATGTGCAATACATACCTGTATATATGCGCTAGACATGTGTGTGTATATATATGTGTGTATGTGTGTGTAATATACTGCTATCCCAACGTGTGGATCACGTGAGTATTGTTTTGATCTCGGCTCAGTCAACGTTAACTCAGTGAAGAATCACTGGTAATACCAGTAACTCTGTCCACAACGACCAACGACATTTTCCTAATGTCATAACCGATACGATTCATAACTGATAACTGAATTCCAAATAAGTCTTTGTTCTCTTGAGACAGAGTCAACAGACTGTGCAACTGCATTACTCTGGCTCAATTCTGCCTCTGCTATTCCCTAGGGCATCATTTCACCTGCTAAGCCTGAGCTTCCCCATCTGTGCAATGGGGACGATCACAAGACCTACGTCCCAGAGTTGTGGGGATTAAATAAGCGCTGGCATAGGGTGCGTGGGAAGAGCTTCCTAAGTGCTGGCTGCTACGATTATTAAGTATTATCATCTCAGTCTCATTCATGAAAGTTATTCTTGAAGTTTCTTACTGCATCATGTGCTGACTTTTACACAATAGGTGTGTGCACAAAAGTGCCCGGCCAGAAAGGTTAAAAAGGACCATTACTGAAATTCTAAAGCACTTTACAAGCAGGAGAGAGGACGTGCAAAGGTCCTTCGCAGGGCATGCACAAAGGACCAGGGGCAAGCGGTGACTGTGGAAATCTCATTCCTCTGCAAAATGACAACACAAGGAGAGTAGTGGGGCCTGGGAGTGAAAAGATCTGGCCTCCCCCCCAGCTCTGCTGGCAGGTCAGCTGTAGGACCACAGACAAGGCCGTCCCAAGGCCTGTTTCCCACCTACAAAATAGGGGCACTGGACAGGATAGCAACTGAGCTTTTCCAGCCCTGGGATAATAAGCTCTTTACACCTGCCCCAGTTCCAGAGAAGGAAGCCGACCTGAGCAACAGGTCTGAGTCATTTAGGGTCAGTAACGGGGGTGAGTGCTCAGCTCTGAAGCCTGGAGCCCACAGGAGGATGGACAAGAGGAGGGACATAGGGGCCCTAACAGGATGGGGGACCCATCTCTTGGGGGTCCTCCCAGGAATAAGCGACCCTAACAGGACTGGAAGCCTTAACAGGTTAAGGAGTCCTGATTGGTTTAGGGACCTTTGTAAGCTAAGGAGTCACTAATAAGATGGGGGACCAACACAGAACAGGGCATCCCGGGAGGGGGGCGGTGGTGACAGGAACAGGGGTCCTGACAAAATGAGGTGGGGGGGTCAGATGCCAGGCACTTTACAGGATTGTGAGAACCACGGCAGGAGGGGAAGCGTGGTAAGGCTGGGGTAGCGCGGCAGGCGGGGGACTGACACGACGGGGGAGCCTGCAGGGATCGGGGGCACCCTGAAAGGAGGAGGGGGTCCTGGAAGGCCTGCGAGGCACGGAGACGTCCAAAGGGCGCTGACAGAATCCGGGACCTGGACAGGCCTCCCTGGAGGTTCCTGGGACAAGGACGGGGCCGGAGGAGCCTATGGCGGGCGGGGTGGGGGCCCTGCGAGAATTGGGGGCGCCGGCAGACATGGGGCGCGCGGACGGAGCTGGCGCGGCCGGAGGACCGGAGGCCCAAGAGGCCCGCCCTGCCGGACGCAGAAGCCTCCAGAACGCTCCGGGGACCCGGGGACCCGGCCAGGGCGCGACACGGCCGCCACAGGCCCCGGCGGGGGACTCTGGCCCGGCCGCCCCGCCCCCCAAGCTCACCTGACGGCCGCCCCGGTCCGCAGGAAGCGCTGGATGGCCCTGTCGGCCGCGGTCACCGCCGCCTCGGCCCGGGAGCTCAGCATCGCGGCCCCGCGGAAGGCCGGCCGCCCCCGCCGTGGCCGGACCCACGGCTCCGCAGGCTCCCGAGGCGGTGGAACGCGCAGCCAGACCCCCAGCTCCTCGGGGGAAAGTAGGCCGAAGGACTGGCTCCCCAGGGGACCGGAAGCTGCCGCTGCCGGAGAGCAAGAGCCGACGGACCACATCCTTGTTATCCTTTTTCTCCTTAGCAACCGGCGCTGGCGTCGGTTGCTAAGGGAGGCCCTGCGGCCAGGGGCTGCTTTGTTGTCAGGTTTTGCCAGGGCTGCGTTCGTAAATGCAGATACCCCACTTCCACGAGGGACCCTGTGTCATTTTAATTTTTCAGTGGGAGGAGGGCAGCCTCCGCACGGAAGCGGGATCAGGCCTGGGCCACAACTAGTTATTATTGTCGTCAGTGTGGAGATAGGTCGCAGAGGAAGTGCCTTTAATGCGCATGTGCCCATCTCCGACGACATCAATAGAGAAACAGAGGCCTTTCGTGATAGCCACCAAACTTAGTTTCCTTAGGTGCATTGGTAAGGACGTCACATGCATTATTCCCATTCAGTCTACACACCAACCCTAACATTACTCACATTTTACATCCCGGGAAACCAAAGAAGTTGAGAGAAATAAGAAGTCTTTTGACACAGCTTGCAAGCGGTGGAAACAAGATTGGCAGTCAAGTCTGTGTCTCCAGAATAGCGCTGTCCAATAAAAATGTAAGGAGAGACACATTTAAAATCCTCTAGCAGCCACATGAAAGTAAAAAACAACAGGTGAAAGCAATTTTAACAAAATCTTTTGCTTGATCCAATATATTCAGACTATTGTCATTGCTACACAAAAATTATTAGATAATTTACAGGGGTTTTTTTGTACTAACTATATCTCAATTTGAACCAGCTGCTTTCATGTGCTCAATGGCCGTATGTGGCCTGGGGCTGCCATATTGGACAGCACAGCTGATAGAGTATTAGAGCCAGAGAGAATTTGCCCTCCCTTTTAATCACTTTCCCCAACTCCAAAGCAAGGAATTGCAGCTACTTTAGTAAAGAAATCAATGCTTTTGCTCAGCGATTCTCAAAGTTTTAGATTTTGGTTTATTGATAGATTTCATTTATGTGAGCTACATCAAACTGTAGTTATGCTATTAGAAATTAAAATTGAGAAATAATTTTTTTAATTGAGATATAATTTCTACAGTAAAATTCACCCATTTTTCGCGTACAGTTCTATGAGTTTTGCAAATGCATAGTCATGTAACCACTATCACACAATCAAGACAGAATCAGCACTCCCCCCCAAAAATTACCCCCTGTCCCTTTGTAATCAACTCCTCCACCCACCCCCAACCCCTGGAAACCACTGATCAAAACAGAAAATTTTAAAACTCAAGAATACCAAAGCACACATTCCATTAGATCTCAGAACCATAACTTCATGACATGTTGTGTTGCATCTGGAAAATTCCAGGGGACTCTCAAGAGTGAATGAGAGTGGGGAAGGCAAATAATGTCTTAGTGTTATTATGAAAATAGTTTTGACCTCAATCACCCAGGGGATGATTGAGGAGCCCAGGGGTCCTGCAAATACACTTTGAGAACCAAGATTTTAGCCTGCCAGGTGCATATCCTGCCACCCAATAGGTAAATCCGCTCAGGACTCTGCATTCCAGGCTATTTTGAATAATTGGCACTGGGGCCGGCCCCATGGCCGAGTGGTTAAGATCATGTGCTCTGCTTCGGTGGCCCAGGTTTTCGCAGTTTCAGATCCTGGGTGTGGAAATGGCACCACTCATCAGGCCATGCTGAGGCAGTGTCCCACATTCCACAACTAGAAGGACCTACAACTAGAATACACAACTATGTACTGGGGGGCTTTGGGAGAAGAAAAAAATAGTGATAATAATTGGCACTTACAGAGTGTCCGTAGTCAATCGATTCACAAATATTTCTGAGGAGTTTACATGCCTTACCTCGTTTAATTCTCGCAATGACCACGTGAGTAATAACAGAACTCCACGTTTCAAGAAGTTAACCAGGTCTCCTGAAACCTGGCTGTTGCTATTCCTCTACCCAGTAGGGCTGTGGCTGTCATTGACTAATAGATGTTACTATAAATAAAGAGATATTACTGACTTATAATGATAATGCTGCAGCCAGCAACCAGCAGGGTCTGCTCTAACATCCATCAGGCAGATCAAGGGTTTGTGGCATGTTGGGAGATCACAGGGTCACTGGTCAGATCCTTAGAGATCTTTCAGCTGCTGGGATTATTCTGCAGGTAAATGGTTTACTCAGGACCCCCAACTCCTTGGGATAAAAACCTGAAGTGGTATTTTTCCAACTGCCCCCACCTATACGAAATCACACCTCCCCCTCATGGTCAGACACCATTGATAGCTCCCTTAGTACAACTTTGCAGCTACTTTCAGAGATCCGTCCCATTTCAGTATTTAAATTACTGCCTGTTTATTTTTTAATTTAAAACTCAAACGTGATTCCTCTGACTCCAGAGGCAAGAGCAGCCTGGAGAGAGAGAAGTCCAGCCCTGGACATCTTCTCCACTCCCTCTGCCAGCTCTCTTGTGTCTCAGAAGATAGACTTCAGCAATTGTGATCACATTGTCAGACAAAGCCACAGGAAAGATCTAGAATCCAGTTGGATGTTTTTTTAATATTTGAAAAAGTCATTCTTGTCCTGCCAGATAGCTAGACTCTGAAAAGAACATTAAATTCCATCCTGTGGGACAGTCTTTAGCACTTGACGGAGAGTTTGAAGCAAGAGACATTTTTCTCCCTTGTCTTGGGACAGTCTTGTCAGTGGAGAACTGGGGACCCCTCTCTTCAAATACCACACTTACCAAACACCTTCCTGTAAGCCCTGAGGGGAGGGCTGGCCCCAGTAATGGGCTCTGATTGGCAACTCTCTCAACTTAGACTGTGGAGCACTTGGTGTCTTGTGTCCTCAGCTTTGGGCCTAAGTAACTGTTCTGGAAAAAGAAGAAGATCCTTTCACGTATATGAAATACTTGCTTTTATTTCCAGGCAGAGAAAATAGAAACAGGAGGATTCGAGCACTAGCAAAATTTTTATTGTTTATTTTTTCCTTATTTGGTTGTTTTAGAGACCAAAACAACAATAACAATACAATGGCTCAAAAATTGGTCAAATTCTGCCTTTCACAGCACTCCAGAACTCTCCTGGACTCCGCTGTTGTTATTGTTGTCTGTTCCCATCGGTCCTCTGACCACACAGTTGGCCATAATCATGTCAGCAGCACATTCTTGGGGCTGGTTCTCCCTCCTTCCTAAATGAGTTTGTGGGTTCACCCCATGGGCCAGAAAGGGATGGCCCTTAGATTTCTCAATGTTGTGTGGAGGTGGGAAGGATTTCCTTGGGGAAAAAAGTGACCACCTTCATTGCTCAAACTAGACCCTTTGGGGAGTAAAATGTGTTGTTACGGGGCCAGCCCAGTGGCGCAGCGGTTAAGTTCACATGTTCCACTTCTCGGCGGCCTGGGGTTCGCTGGTTCGGATCCCGGGTGCGGACATGGCACCACTTGGCACGCCATGCTGTGGTAGGCGTCCCACATATAAAGTAGAGGAAGATGGGCATGGATGTTAGCTCAGGGCCAGGCTTCCTCAGCGAAAAGAGGAAGACTGGCAGTAGTTAGCTCAGGGCTAATCTTCCTCAAAAAAAAAAATGTGTTGTTACTAATATTCTGCTGGGACTACAGGTATGAACTGAGACTGTCCTCAAATATGTGATCACCCTAGACTCAGGGCTGAAATAAAGAAATCCTCCATTCTAGATTGAGACCAAAATTTCCAGCTGACTGACTGCTAACTCAGGTAATTCATCTTTTTCCCTGGATGTGATGGTTAATTTTATGTGTCAACTTGGCTGGGCCATGGTGCCCAGATATTTGGTCAAACATTATTCTGGATGTTTCCATAAAAGTCTCTTTGGATGAGACTAATATTTAAATCTGTAGACTTTGAGTAAAGCAGATTGCTCTCCCTAATGTGGGTGGGCCTCATCCAATCAGTTGAAGGTCTGAGTTGAGCAAAGAGACTGATGTCCCCCAAGAAAGAGGGAATTCTGCTAGCCAATGGCCTTCAGACTTTGACTACAACATTGACTCTTCCCTGGGTCTCTGGCTTGATGGCTCACCCTACATATTTTGGATTTGCTAGCCTCCACAATCATGTGAGCCATTCCTTAAAATAATCTCTCTCTCTCTCTGTCTCTCTCTATATATATATACATCATATACACATAGAATATGATTATGATTCTGTTTCTCTAGAGAACCCTGACTAGAACATCCTTGCCTGCAAACATAATAATCATAACCATTTGCCAAACACTTGCCAGCAGTTAGACTCTGTGCTAAGTGTCTTTGTACACTGTCCTATTTCATCCTCCCAGCAACCCCACCAAGTGGGTTCTATTAAAATCTGTATTTTATAGAAGAGGAAACTAAAGTCCAGAGAAGTGAAATGCCTTGGCCAAAGTGACGTAATGAGTTTGCGATTAGACAGGATGTCAGGCAGGTCTCTGTGGTTCTAAGGCATCTGTCTTAAGCCAGACACCTCTGCCTCAGACTTGAGCCCATTGGGATGGGACTATCACCGCTCCCCGGACTGTGATCGGCATTCCACGTTTCTGTTGGTTTCAAGTACCCACCTGGGCGTGTAGGACCACCTGGCTCTGCTTCCAGCTGAGGTTCCATTTACACCAGGGAGCAGGCTAACAGGGCAGTAGGAGAGGAAGCATAACTGGCTCTTACACCTTTGAAAAGATGCTCCTCCTTGCTTGGTAACGAAAGAAATGCAAATTAAAACTCCAATGAGAAAACATTATTTTCCCACCCATCAGACTGACAAAGCACGAAAATATGATAACACTCAGTGATGGTGAGTGTATGGGGAAACAGGCACTCTTGGGCATCCCTCTGGGAGGATAAATGGGTACCATCTACGTCCTATTGGACTGTTTACAAAAATTACAAATCTGCATCCTCTATGACCTAAGAATTTATCATACACACATTAGAATAAAGACATCTGTTGCAGCATTGTTGCTAATACGAAAAGATTGGAAGCAATCTAAATACGCAGCA